AGCTTTGTTCTTCACGAATATTTTATTTTATTTTAACCCTATACCTGACAAATAATTTTCCCACAGTCTGTAGTAAGAACTTTTTTTTTAAATAGTCACTCAGACTGCTCTGATGTTTCGGATGAACAAGATGTTAGGACCTGTGCAAAATGTGGATTTGATACTATTGATAGCGCTCTTTCAGACAGTGGACTATTTATTGAAGACAGAACTGTTGTCTTTTACATTGATGGGAGTGCCTGGCTATGGTGTTTTGGCTGCAGAAAGCAATTTCATTATGCATGTACAAGCAACATATTTTCTGACAGTGTTGATGATATGATTGATCTGAAATTTGATCTTGAAGTTTTATAATATATTATAGTGATCTAAAATGGCATTTTAAGCAACTTTGTGCTTATTTATTTCAACGTCTATACAAAGGGTTGAACATTAGTAATTTAGTAGACCCACTTTTGTATGCCATTACTGCAGTAACTGGCTCATAAACCATGAGTACCAAAGTCCTGACAAGTAACACAACACAGTGCATGTATTTTCACATTTCATCTCAAAAGGGATGAAAAGGTTGTTATGTTATGCTAGAGAGCAATAACAAAATATATGAGTTACAACTCCGTTACAACAAACTCAACTCGGTTACGTCAGGATTTTTTTAATAGATGACTTCTTTTGACAACTGACGAAAAACTTTGTTGTTTTTATGAGTTTTAACTTTAGATTAGGATTAATGATAATATATGTTGTGACAAAAGATGAAACATACTATATTTTGGATACCGTCTTTCATGTAAATGACTTTGTTGTCTAGGCAAACTTTTGAAATATGGAGCGAGCACTTACAAATGTCCAATCATACATTTTATTTAGCCAGTTTGCATTTGTTTAACACTGAATTGTATTCACACTTTATGTTAATTGCTGAATACGATTTTATATTTCAAAGCAACCTAGCGCTATTAAAATTACTTTCCATTTTGTGATCCGTAACGGAGTTGAATGTCCTAGCAGATTAGGCTAATTCATTAATTATTTTCTAATTAATTAAACTCATCACTGCACTGCATTGAACTAGAAAGTACTTCTCAAGTATCATATTCTCTAATATCAAGAGAAAAATTATATTAGGGACACTTTTATTTTTGCAAGTTGATATCAGAAAATTTGTCAGTTTTGAGATTTTTACCCCACTATGAGAATAAGAATCATTCACCTTTCAAAAGAACCATATTCATTTTCCATTTCAGGTGGCCATTTCAAGTCTATTCTAAACAAACGTAAGAAAAAGCAGGCCTTATCAGCATGATCAGTGCAGTCAATAAGAACAGCAGGGGTCATTGGCCAGCATTGATGAGTCCCCTGTCCAATGGAAATGGATTCTTCCGCTGCATGCAGAACGCCTTCTGTCCCAAAGCACGGTGTTCATATCAATTTCTGTTTGTTCAGCAGCTGGTCTATGTGATGCAGGCTAGAAGGAAGGAAATTTCCCCAACCATCGCAAGGATCTCTTTTATTTGTACTATGGGGGGCACAGGTGGCCCAGTCGTCAAAGGTGCCGCGAATCGCTGTGCAGAGTTGCATCACTTGGGCACGCCAGAAACCTATGATTGGGGGATCGAATATAACTGGAATACTGTTAAAAGCGGCGTTAAACCCAACTCACTTACACTATTTGTACTATGAAATGCAAGACTGAAATACTACAGGCCTGTTCTGTAATTAGCGCTGTGTGTGAAACGAAGCCATTGTGTGTGTGAGTAGTTACACTGATATACATCTACAATTTGACTTGGCACACAAACCAAACGGAATTTGAACAACTTGAATTAAAATTGCTAGAACTGCTGAATTTATTAAGGTGCATTGTGATCACTGATGTCTCAAGACTTCTCAAACATGTGATGTGGGTGACTTCTTTTTCGAAAAAAAAATCCAGTCAAAAAGGATTTTCATTATCACAACAAACAACAAACCTGAAAGATGGTAGCTATATATTCATGATCAAATATAAAATATGAACCATATCATAAAAAGTATGTAATGAATAGTTGATAAATCTGGTGAAGATCTGAAATTATATAATAAAAAAAAGAACAGGGATTGCAGAGAACAGTCACTGTCCTTTAGCAAAAGGGGTGCACGGGTGTCCCAGTTATCTAAGGCGCCGCGATTCGCTGTGCAGAGTTGCGTCCCTTGGGCTTGCCAGAAACCTATGATTGTGGGTTCGAATCCCGGTTCGCCCCGATTATGTTTCTAGGTTTGTCAGCACCATACCCTTGCTCGTGGGTTTCATTGAAGTGGTAAATGTCTGAGACCTGCATCACTTCAGGCTTTCCTTCCACATTAAGCTGACACGCCGTGATATAACTGGAATAATGTTAAAAGAGGCGTTAAACACAACTCACTCACTCACTTTAGCAAAAGAGCATGATGCTATGGCGACACTTTCCATATTTTAGTCGATGGCTCAAGAGAAATAAATGTTTGGTAATGACCATCAATACAGTGCACCATAGCTCAGTTAGCTGTTATTTGTTCCCACTAAATGAACGGACCCACCAACGTTATGTGAAATAAAACAAAAACTCCAATCCACACAAAAGAATTTTATTTTGACCTACCCAAGCTTACATCCGAAAAGTATAAAAACCGACAAGTGTCGCCTACGTGAGCAATCTCAATTTCCTGATTTACAAGTAGTATCATGTCAACAAGATGAATAAAACTGTAACCATTCATGTCTCATTCAATATATCTAAAACAAGTACATATTACATACCGGTGTAGGTACATACTAAAATAGGGGTCTATAAATAACCATTATATCTTTGTAAATACTACAAACAATTTCATATCAGCAAAAAAAAACCATTCCATAAGAAGGCATGTAAGTTAAAAAATGTTAACGAAACACTCATGGCAATGTTAAACTGTCAATAGGAATTTACGGATATTATCAAGTTATCTGTTCCAGTGACTTTTGTGCGACAATGATACAACATAACTGTGCAAAACTTGGGTGAATGAACTGACTTCCTTTCATACATTCTGTAAACCCTGACATTATCTTATTGAATCATTTCAACACTTCTCTCATACATCTAGGGCCTCATACTTCTTCCATGTATTCACGCATTAGACACTATGAATCCTACTGTGAAGTCCATCCTTGAATATCCAGGGTATTGCATCACTATTTTGTAGAATGGATGCACAATTTTTCCTTTGATGTCAGCTATACAATAACTCCCGACACATTATCAAGGACTAGAGCCTCTGATACCCTGTTTAGGAGGTGGAGATACCATTAAACAAGTAGCTCATGTGTACAATTATTTATCAATACATACACACATCAGGCCAAAAACAATGTCTCAAGTTTCAAGCTATGTAACATAACCGTTATTGTTTCCATTTCAAGTTGGTAGTACACATTAATGCAATATCTGCATCTCTGTTAAAAGAATAATAATTGAGGCTGGCGTTTGAAAATGAAAAAACATTTTGTCATGTATCTTGTCTGCACGTCAAATGGATGGATCATAATGGGAGTTACGAACACACCTCATTTATCCAGTGTATCGTATATCCATTCCATAATAATATATACCCATTCACCACAATGTCTTTTTAATAACTAGACATCCAATCAAGTTTGAAACAAGTGACAATATCCCCAGTCCTCCGCTTGACTTCAGCGAGCCGTCTCAAATACAAATCTTCTTGTGTAAGGACTTACCTCCCATATTTAATAGTACCCAGAAAAACATCTTTTAAAGTTTAAAATTCATAAATAAGTCTTCTGATTCAGTTAAAATACCATACTGATAGACTGCTTAGAAAAGCCACCATTTTTAATGTTGATGTATCATTCTGAGAAGGCATTTGATTGGTTGTTGATGAGCAAGAGAAATTCTGTGCAAAATTACTGATAAGAGAGAGATGGAGCTGATGATATCACTTCTATCACAAAGCTATGGTGGTGAATGGATTCAGGTATTTATCACAACAGAATGGAGATGTATTACCCTTGATAACTGAGGATGAATGTTAGGTTGAACTGGTGCACGTTTTATATAGCTAAATCGCATCCTGTATTCACAGTCTCACAATGTAATGGATATCATTACGAATAAAGCTTGTTGCAGCTCTCACTCTAACCAGCAGCACCTTGCCATCAGCCAATAAAATCACAAACAATCATTAGTAAATTCATCCCTTCCTTCATACAGAATAATCTACACACAATGACCATAAAGTGACACGGATATCAATCTCATTAAAATCAGATCTTAGTTTTTGCTACCGCTAAACAAAGATCTGAGGACGTCCCATTACGGGTCACGTCAGACCGACCTTGTGCGAACTTTGACCAACCAATGGAATGACCAATCAGAAGGCAGCTTTCTCGTGCTTTACAGCACTAATTTCAAATTGGCGACTAATCTTCGAAACATATTTTGACAAATTCTTGATTATAAATTTGAAACCTGAACAAAAGAACATTCTGGAATGGCTAACAGATGGTCTAGATTGTATTAATTCAGTCGTTAAACCCGTAGTTATCGTTCGGAGTTGAAGTTTTCGGGGTTGCATGATTAGAAATCACATTCCGACTGTCACTTTCATAATCTGGTAAGCGTTGCTCTGATTGGTCGGATGAAAGGTCGTTCTGACATGACCCCTAATGGGATGTCCTCAGATCTTTGTTCAGAGGTAGCAAGAACTAAGGTCTGATTTTAATGAGATTGCACGGATATGAAGTTAACACTTGTGAACGTGAAAACTACCTACGGCCACAGCAAAGCTCCATGACAAAATAAAAAACTACTAAATCATCCCTGAACATAATCTGAACTCTACATCACACATTGTTCAATAGGCACATATTTAAACATACAGAAATCATTTGAATGGTGTTTCCTTGGCACATTATATAAGAAATATAACAAAGAATTATCACGCCATCATGAACTAAAAATTAGGACCAACAAAGTGTATGTTTATTGAACTGCATCACTTTTATTGTGTTTGTTAACATACGGTTAAATATTGTTGTGTTTTTGTTTGTTTGTTGCTTAATGCCACACTCAGCTATATTTCAGTTACATGACAGTGGTCTGTAAATAATCGAGTCCAGACCAGACAACCCAGTGGTTGATATCATGAGCATCAATCCACGCAATTCTGATAAGATGACATGCATCATCAACCAAGTCAGCAAACTTGACCACCTGATCCTGTTAGTTGCCTCTTACGACAAGCAGGATCTTCACGGGTCCTATGGTTAAACTAAAGACATTTCTCACCAAAGTTAGCTGCAATATTGCTTATGTGGCGTTATGAGCAATATTCACTCACTTGTTTTATGAAATGACAGTAATGTTAAAAAGAATAATCTAATTCCAAATGAAATGTCTCATTCATAATACATAATCTGCTTTATGAAATGATGGCATCGATACAGTCTATCATAATACTGAAGATCATATCTGCATTCAAAACATTTGACACTTTGTACTTCATCAGCACCATCCATAACAATCAGAAAGTTCAAGCTGTGCAACAGAGAAATGTTAGCACCTTGTCAGAACCAGTGATTGATATTATGAGCAATGTTCCACGCCATCAAGGAAGGATGACATACAGCCATGTCACCAAGCCTGACTGCTAATCCATCTAGTCATGCAAGAAGCATAGGTAGCTGGGAACCTGCTCTAGCCCAGATTCCCCAGTGGAAGTTGTTCATCTATCAATAAAACATTCAGTGACCTTCTGGCACATTTTCCTCAAAAGTGGAGAGGGGGTAAGACATTTTTAAATTATTTTTATTGAAACAAAAGTGATGCGTGAGGAACACATTTGATTCCCCCCCCCAATAATTGAGCTCAATCGTGATTTGAATTCCCTGATTAGTGAAAAGCGTCTAAGGTATTCTAAACAGCACAGAGAATTGAAACCCATTTGCAATAAGGGCCACACATCCCACCACCTATGCTGGTCCAAAACACAATACAAGAACTAAATTGTCTCCATAAGAGAAAAAGACTATAGCAAGGACACTTTGGCAACTGAAACACCGACATCTGGCCTACTGAACACTCTCAAACAACAAATTATTCTGACAAATCAATCACACAGTGCTACCTCACACAGACACTTCAAATCACTTATTCTTCAAATAGTCTATTTTCTGTTTCCTGGCACGAGATCTCATCAGAGAGAAATATGTTTTTGGAAACAAAACTCTTGTGTAGTAGGCTAGTTTGGGCATGAGCGTTGCTAGAATGACATCAGCCTGGTTGAACTCGATGGCTTGGAGTACACGCTGTGCCACATACTCGGGGCTCATTCCTGATGCTGTGGTGGGATCTGTTACTGTAAAAAAAGAGAAGTTGAAAATTGTCAGTCTGTTTGCTACTGAAATAACATAAAGAGTGACACAGTATTTCACTTATATCACAGCAGTCAGTTTCTGATGTGACTCTGGTCCAGCCATATCATGGCATTATCCCCATGATCAACCTTAATAAGTTTGGTGTTCCTTGGTGGTTGGGTAGCTCTGTGGTTAATGCATTTGTTCATCATGCCGCAGGCTGGTTGTTTGTTGTTTAATGCCACATGCAGCAATATTCCAGCTACCGTATATGACGTTGTGATATTGTACCAGAATCACACAATATCACAGCTGCATGTATCAGTATCACACAATATCACAGCTGCACGTACCAGAATCACACAATATCACAGCTGCATGTACCAGTATCACACAATATCACAGCTGCACGCACCAGAATCACACAACACCACAGCTCCATGTACCAGTATCACAGCTGCATGTAGCAGTATCACACAATATCACTGCTGCATGTACCAGTATCACACAATATCACAGCAGCATGTACCAGTATCACACAATATCACAGCAGCATGTACCAGAATCACACAATATCACAGCTGCATGTACCAGTATCACACAATATCACATCTGCACATACCAGTATCACACAATATCACAGCTGCACGCACCAGAATCACACAACACCACAGCTCCATGTACCAGTATCACACTATATTACGGCTGCATGTACCAGTATCACACAATATAACAGCTGTATGTACCAGTATCACACAATATCACAGCTGCATGTACCAGTATCACACAATATCACATCTGCACATACCAGTATCACACAATCACAGCTGCATGTACCAGTATCACACAAATTCACAGCTGCACATACCAGTATCACACAATATCACAGCTGCATGTACCAGTATCACACAATATCACAGCTGCACGCACCAGAATCACACAACACCACAGCTCCATGTACCAGTATCACAGCTGCATGTACCAGTATCACACAATATTACAGCTGCATGTACCAGTATCACAGCTGCATGTACAAATATCACACAATATCACAGCTGCATGTACCAGGATCACACAATATCACTGCTGCATGTACCAGTATCACTGCTGCATGTACCAGTATCACACAATATCACAGCTGCATGTACCAGAATCACACAATATTACAGCTGTATGTACCAGTATCACAGCTGCATGTACCAGTATCACAGCTGCATGTACCAGTATCACACAATATCACAGCTGCATGTACAGTATCACAGCTGCATGTACCAATATCACTCAATATCACTACTCCATGTACCAGAATCACACTATATCACAGCTGCATGTACCAGTATCACACAATATTACAGCTGCATGTAACAGTATCACACAATATCACTGCTGCATGTACCAGTATCACAGCTGTATGTACCAGTATCACAGCTGCATGTACCAATATCACTGCTGCATGTACCAGAATCACACAATATCACAGCAGCATGTACCAGAATCACACAATATCACAGCTGCATGTACCAGTATCACACTATATTACAGCTGCATGTACCAATATCACACAATATTACAGCTGCATGTACCAGTATCACACAATATCACAGCTGCATGTACCAGTATCACACTATATTACAGCTGCATGTACCAATATCACACAATATTACAGCTGCATGTACCAGTATCACACAATATCACAGCTGCATGTACCAGTATCACACTATATTACAGCAGCATGTACCAGTATCACACAATATCACAGCTGCATATACCAGTATCACACAAAATCACAGCTGCATGTACCAGTATCACACAATATTACAGCAGCATGTACCAGAATCACACAATATCACAGCTGCATGTACCAGTATCACTTGATATCACTACTGCGTGTACCAGAATCACACAATATCACAGCTGCATGTACCAGTATCACACAATATTACAGCTGAATGTGTACCAGTACCACACAATATCACAGCAGCATGTACCAATACACAATATCACAGCTGCATGTACCAAAATCACACATTATCACAGCTGCATGTACCAGTATCACACAATCTTACAGCTGCATGTACCAGTATCACAGTTGCATGTACCAATATCATTCGATATCACTGCTGCTTGTACCAGAATCACACTATATCACAACTGCATGTACCAGGATCACACAATGTCACAGCAGCATGTACCAGTATCACACTATATCACAGCTGCATGTTCCAGTGTCACACAATATCACAGCTAAACTATATCACTGATCCTACCTCCATGTTTTGATCCATCAGAACAGACTGCATTCTGGGAGAGATTTGTGTGCATGTACCCTGGACTGATGATGCTAACTTTAACATTTCTATCAGCAACTTCAGCTCGTAGGCAATCAAAAAATGCCTGAAATGCATGCTTTGATGCAGAGTCTGGAAAAAATATGTAAAACCATCATTACTTAACACTGCTTAATACAGTGACCTATCTCAAAGTGAGTGAGTAAGTTTAATGTCTCTTTGAACTTCTCCTTGATCACCAACTGTACCATATCTCCATTCAAAAACACTGAGGACTCATCTTCTCCCTGAGGCAAGTGAGTTAACTCTCTATTTAAGTCCAGTTTCCATGTCAGTCAACTCCAATATCACAAGAAGCTGTAGACCCATTTGCCTCCAAAGCTTTGTTTCAGTAGTGACGTCACCATCTCTATCCATCTTATCTCAAACATAACACATTAGTTCTCTAGCTCAGGAACTCTAGCTCTGGCTCAAAAATCAATCAAAAACAATCTACACCCAGAATCAATCTCATTAAAATCAGATCTTCGTTTTCGCTACCGCTAAACAAAGATCTGAGGACATCCCTTTACGGGTCACGTCAGAACGACCTTTCACGAACTTTGACCGACCAATGAAATGACTGACAAGAAATCGACATTAGCCAATCAGAAGGCAGCTTTCTCGAGCTTTACGACACTAGTTTCAAACTGGGACTACGCTTCAAAACATATTTTGACGTATTCTCAATTAAATTTTTTTAAACTGATCAAAAGATCATTCTGGAATGGCTTATAGTAGGTCTAGATTGTAGGGATATAATCATAAAACTCGTAACTGTCGTTCGGAATACCCTCTGTTAAATATTTCGAGGTTGCATAATTAGAAAACACATTCCGACTGTCACTTTCATGATCTGGTAAGCGACGCTCTGATTGGTTGGATGAAAGGTCGTTCTGACGTGACCCGTAATGGGATGTCCTCAGATCTTTGTTTAGCGGTAGCGAGAACTAAGATCTGATTTTAATGAGATTGCATCCAAAATTGGGGCCTCATACAGCAAGCCTTCTGTATATTTAATTAAATCAAAGATTGTATAAAATACTATTTGCTCGTATTGACCAGGAAAAGAAACTACAGTAAATTTTGTTGTTCAGTTTAATTTCAATCTTTTTAATCCTTTTCAAGTTGAGCATTTTTTTCTTTAGATATTTGGACAGTGTGTTCTGTTTTATGCTGGCTGTCATGTTCTCGAATTATGTCCCATGGGCCCGCCATCATGTAATTTCTAATTTCTACTGATTATTTCTACAACAGAAAACCCAGCATTTGCTGCAACGTTCATTATGCATCCTTGGGTATTTTTTGTGATCCATTTGCAACATTTAGTGTTAGTGACAAAGTGGTATGCTGTAGTGGCCAGAAAATGCTTAGAAATCAAAAGGTCTAGCATAAATCTACCAGATAGAGGGACAGCCTGCCCATGAATTTACCAGTCCAAGCCATGGTTTACAGGTCAATACTGGTACATAGTGGAGAATACACTTTCATGTATACTGAACACAAAACGTAACTCACATGCTGATCTATATGGAATGGAGAATTTCCCCTGGACACTGCTGATGCCAACTATATAACCGCCACCTTGACTCAGCATGATAGGGAGGAGAGCTGCAGAGACAGAAACAGTTTGACAGATATTTGAATAAAACGTATATGAGTGCGCATGGTTTTACGCCGCTTTTAGCAATATTCCAGGAATATGACGGCAGGGGACACCAGAAATGGGCTTCATACATTGTACCCATGTCGGGAATCGAAAAAACGTATATGATATATACCAGATACGATGAAAGTAATTTCCTTCGTTCTTAATTATCTGTAACACCAGAGTGAAAACTAATTGCTTGAACGCACCTACAGTCACTAATTTGGAGTTACCTCCCTTCATCCACCTCTTGCTTCCACATTACCAAGGAAGGAACCAGAATGAGGGGAGGTCAGGTGGGCCTTATCCCTGTCATATCAGGTTACGAATATCATATGCAAGATATTCAAATAATGATAAGCCTCATCATCCCCCTCCATCTTGCTGGTACAGGTGACTGACAGGAAGAGTAATTTGCACTGCCATGGGTGAGGCCACATCACCTTCAGGTGTTCAGGGAGTAAGCAAAAGTCCTCCTCATCATGCTGCTCCAGGATTGAAGAGCACAGGAAGATCCTAAATCTTCGGTCTTCCTGGTCCAGTCACTGTCGCCAAAGATATCAGGAAAACAGTTTTCTGAGTCAGAAGTTGATGATCTGATGAATAGAGATTCGCAGCTTTGTAGTTAGATGTCTTAGAACTACACTGAGGAGGTCAGAACTTCTGTCATTGATCTTCTTACAAGATCCCTTTCACGGCAATAATCTTTGGTTTGATCTTGTGACACTGTGCCTGTACGAAGGTAGCAATCATACACCCACATACATTCTTTGACTTCCTAAGAAAGAGGAAGAAATCAGCAACAAACTGTGCCAATGTCTTTGAGCTGAATATCTTTTCCCCCTGTTCTTATCCTTGAGGGGACCAAGTGCTTAAGATCCTATAAACACAGACAACAGCTTGAGCTGCTCTCCTGGAAAAGCCATGTTACAAAAGCGCCCTTTGCAGATCCCAGTTTCTCCAAAACATTCTCAGTCTGCCACCAACAGGTGTGGATTGGCTGGGGGTGACACTGCTGATCCCATCACTTTCAGGGCTTGTGTTAAAAAGGACTTAGCAGATTGATGTAGTTCTTTTGAATAAACCTTTTTATGACCCTTCTCTCACACGGCAAAAACTGGAACATCGTCAGAGCATCACCCAAACAAAGATCCTCCAACACTGCCCAACACTGCCCAAGGACTAGCAGCTGGGGGACAGCAATCTGGGCAGGCAGTGTTGTGTGTCAAGCCTTGATGCACTAAGTCAACACTGGGAACAAGTAGCTGGAAACAGTGTGGCAGCCACGTCATCGTCTAACCACTGAACAACTACAGAATGCACCAAATCACCCTCAGATATGTTCTTAAATAAGACATAACAGATGCGACATTGAAAGCATGGTTACGATCATTATGAGGGGAACAGAATGCATCACAACCAAAAAGAAGCTTTCAAAGCTCTCTAATAGATGGCAAATATATGTTAAAACAAGGCAAAAACACCAAACAGTCATCGTCTATGCCAAAATGTGTCGACCTCACAACAGGATGACCATAGGAAGTAACTCTGAACAAGTGACTGTAGTCTGTTGCAGGGTTAAAAACTAACAGTTATTGTCCACAAGTCCTTATAATGATAACATATAGCAAAACCCTTAAAATGGGCCAATTTCTACTTGTCCTAAGGATACCTTTACTATTGGGCAGTTTGGTAAGGACTACAGGACTAGTGCCAATTTCTAACGCTGTGTTGGCGAATAAGTTAACAGTTTTCACTCTGTGTTATAGATATTAAAAAAACGAAGGAAATTGCAAATTGTCACGGCTGAAATATAACATTTTTCAAAGTGGTTACTGGATAGTATAGTTGGCAGGGTGGAAACATACAGTTCATAACCCGTTTTAAAACTATTAAATCAACCAGTAGGCAATGGCAAGAACTATTACACACATTCTCTTTAATATCATTTACATTATGGGTCTCGAAGACAGGCTATGCCTGCTACACAATTATTTTTCTTTTCATGTGATATATTACTCAGGAATTATAAATGACACATTTTTGAAATTTAGGGTCAGCAAATCCTAAATCAAGGAAAGAAATGCCTCACTAACAGTGTGTGAAAAAGCCACCTAACCGCTGAAATTAAAGTAAAAAAAAATTGAATGAAATCTTTGATAAAAGTAATATAATGGATTACAAATGTAAGTCCAGATACAAAATGAACACTTTTATAGCCACAAAGTGTTATAACAGGAGTAACTTGCATACTTCAGTACAGATTTTTTTACATGCTTCTTCCGTTGTTTTGTGCTCACGATAACGTTTTCTCATTGTGAAATAGAATCAAAGCTCATTGTATGCGTGTATTATGCACTTACTGGTAGTCCAACTGTAGAATATTGTATTCCAGTATATAACTCATCAAGGAATACATTTATCTAGGGAGGCCCCTTCCCAGGTTGTTGACATGCTCTTTCCGGTGTTGTGTGCTCCCGATAATGTCTTTGTGTTGTGAAATAAATCGAAGCTCGCTGTATACATGTATTATGCATACACTGGTAGTCCAACAGTAGTCAAATACTGTATTCCAGTATTATACTCATCAAGGAATAGGGAGGCCCTACCGAGGTTGATTGCACACAACTGTTAATTTGCCTACATACTAGTTTGAACAACCAAAAAACATAGGGGGCATTGCACTATATTTACAAAAAACATTCCCTGAGAACTAATTCTGTATTCTTTTAAGCCTTGGTTGTAATTCGCAGTATAACCAATCACAAATTTTGACTACCCATGTTAAATATTGCAGCATGATGAATGTTTTCGCTTCTATTTTGACAATTTAACTGTGAGTCTGTGACACATCCAAAATATCGCAACAGGGCAAATTGCATTCCTTTTTTCGTGTGAAGGCAACCTGGCCCATTTATTAAGCGAAAAATTAAGTAGGACAAAAACAGAAATTTCTCCCAAAATGATCGGGTCCCATGGCTCGTAAAATTTGAAGCAGGCTATAACTTTTAAGGCTGGCTAGCCCACCTGGCCAGCAATATTTTAGGACTATTTCATACCTTGCTCACTAATGTATTTTCTTCCTTGTAATACCTTTAGTTATGGCTATTTGGCCAAAGTAGTTGACCATCATGACCTTTCGGTCCACCTCCATAGCTGTGTCTTCAATCTGCCCCCGATAGCTGATCCCAGCGTTGTTGACCAGGATGTCTACCCTACCATGGAACCTCAGCGCATCCTTCACCTTGCTGGGCAGACTGGACACATCCTCCAGATCCATCACCAGAAGCTTCGGATCATGCAGCTGTCGCTTCTGAAACATCACAACAGGTAGTTATTCACCATTGGGAGAAAGAAAGCACTGTCAATGTTCCACAGGTTTGTATGTTCTATATTCCTCCATCACCTGTGAATACATACGATCGCTTTGCCTCGGGGTTGCTATTCTTTAGCCAACAAATCAAGACATTGCCTGGTTTCATCGATAGGTAAACAAGCAAGTACTCAAACCAATGAGTGGTCAGATTATATTGCCAAAGTGGCAATATTTCTTGTGAGCATAGCCTTGCGGACATCTGCTCTACACACTGCTTAAGTATCAGGCAGTGGTAGCATTTGCACAAAGAGGTCATGCACAGAGTAGGGCTCACTTGACTTGTGTGAGTTATGAACAGACTAATTGAATTTGCTGGCTAAAACTAGACACATTTCACAACAACACTGCAAAGAGGTCGTGATGGTGTAAATTAGTTTACAAAACCAATGAGTGAGTGAGTGAGTGAGTGAGTGAGTGAGTTTGGTTTAACGCCACTTTTAACAGTATTCCAGTAATATCACGGCATGTCAGCTTAATGTGGGAGGAAAGCCCGAAGTGATGCAGGTCTCAGACGTTAACCACTTCGGTGAAACCTACGAGCACAGACATGGTGCTGACAAACCTAGAAACATAATCGGGGCGAACCTGGATTCGAACCCACAATCATAGATTTCTGATGAGCCCAAGGGACGAATCTCTGCACAGCAAATCGCGGCGCCTTAGACGACTGGGCCACCCGTGCCCCTACAAAACCTATGAAGAATTGTTGAGAGAGAGACTAGGAACTGTTTTAGGATGACCTTAATGATCTGACTTTTAGGCTATGATTCTCCGCTGTTCTGTATTACTATTCGCGACAGATGGACATAAACTATCTCATTAAAAACACTCTCAATATACACAAAAGTTTGAACTACCCAGTAACACAAAATCATACCAGCAGAAATCATTAATACAGTATTCCCATATTTACTTACTCCTAACTCAGTTCTGAGGATGTCTGAAGTCTCCTTTAGCTTGTCAACACTCCTACCTGCCAATATCACATGGCAGCCAGCCTGCAGGAAGATTTTTGCACATGCTGTAAAAACAAAGAGGAAAGCTACATATACAATATATCTGAGTGAGTGAGTTTGGTTTCAGTCTACTTTGATAGTAATAACTGATCAACGGACGGTCGTAGTGTAGCATCAGATCAGGAATGGTTTAGACAAACCAAGGATTGTACTCATCTCTGGGACTCGAATCACTCTCCATGGCCCAATTCCACAAAGGGATCTTAGCACCAAGATCATAACTCATGTACTTTACAATTTGAAATCAAGCATAAAAATCGCCAGGGCCCACTTGCACAAAGCGATCTTAGCGCTAAGATGATCGTAACTCCCATGATTTAACACAGACTTACAATAGTCGTAGCACTTAGATCACTTTGTGCAAGTGAGCCCAGGAGTCCTTGTCATGACTATAATCTAAAAGCCTAAACATATTGGGGTTTCCAGATGATATACATGTAGAAGCAAACCTCAAAGATTCCAGACCCAGCATCAGAAATTGGCACTAGTCCTGTAGTCCTTGCCAAAATGCCCAATAGTTAAGGTATCATAAGGACTTGTAGAAATTTGCCATTTTTAAGGGGTTTGCTACATGTTATCATTATAAGGACTAGTGGGCTAAAACTGTTAGTTTCTACCGCTGCAGAACAACTCTGAATTTTGAACAATACTATATCATTCACTCATGACAGTCTTAGCGCTAACATCGCTTGTGGAACAGTGCCCAGGAGACTGGCAGCTGCAGGATGCAACTCTGTATAGTGACATGGAGCACCTTAGACCAGGCTCGCCTCCTGTACTTCCTTATAGCATAGTTTTTGTTAGGATATTAACATACAACAGTCTAAACATGTCAGTGATTAAATAAGAAAATGGTGATGTTATGGTGTATTGAACGTACCTTTTCCTAGTCCAGATGTCGCTCCTGTTATAAGAACTACTTTGTCCTTGACCAAGGTTTTCTTCCTATATCCCCATACAATGTACAGCAGGCACAACAAACCAATGGGTGCACCTACTATACTACCAATGACCTCCCACGAGATTTTACCCATCTCAGTAGGGCATCATGACTGCATCATTCTGAAACATATCATAGTAGGCCAATGAACATGGTACAAAATGTGATGTTTTGAGGTCTCTCTGTTCATGAAGGTGGATTAACTATCAGTTGCAGACAATTTGTTAGCATAAAAATGAGTATTACTTGCTATTTATTACATATTTCTTATTGTTCATCAACATGCTGGACAAAAATGGACTATGCTATTATTCACCATGTCGTTTACATGAACTTTTACTGTCTTAAGAAAATCTTGAAATATTAGTCAGTATATGTGTCCTGATTCACCAGCATATTCATGCAATGCAAATTTACACCTGATGATATGACATACCATGTATACATTACGCCTTTCATTTATTGACTTATGATTTAATTCTGCATTGATTTTCAAAAAGTAATATGTACAGAGGTTTGTAATAAGTACTAATAATACAAGCTGATAACTACTTGGGTTTGTGTCAACTTAACACCTGTCAAAAACAAAACAAAATGCCCAATTTGATTGCATAATACAATAAGAACAAGTGTGAGTTGGTTAACTGGTAGATGGCACAAATCAAATATCACGATATGTCCCTCAAGTATCACAATATGTATTGACATGTGGCATTCTGTGACACACACCCCATGGACATTGATATATCTATGTTGTATGTATGAACATTTTGCTTTCTGAGTTTGGACAAAAAAAAGAAACACTGTTATTATTGAATAACATGGGTCACTCAAACAGTGATTAATGCTCATTCTAGACTTTTAAGTTTTGTTTGATTTGGTTTTATTGATATCAGTATCTGTAGAGCGTTTAAGGACATTCTTTGGTTTCAGGTCAGCAACAAATTACAATAATCTGCAACTTCCATAGACAACTTTCATAAACATTTCCTTCATTGTAGTGGGCCAAATTATTACTCTACCTTGAAAAATTAGTCCAAAAAGTACGAGAAAACTTTTTTAGGAGCAAAAGATTAGCAACAGTACTATATAATGTTTCTATGAATGTATCAACTTGTTGAGAACATGTTCATACGTGTATAATAAATTCAGGTTGATTTGATATCGAGGAGTGTCTTGCTGGTAAGATAAGGAGTGTTTTGACAGTCCACCCTTTCCATGAATCAAAACACAGGAAACGGAAGTGTAAGTCAACAACACCGCATGTGCGCAGACACTGCCGGATTGAGTTGCTCTGCGCATAACCTTTGTTGAGCATTTTGGTGATAAATCTGACTCGAAGTTCACATGAAGTTTGCGTCGCTCGAAAGTCACAGGAGGGGGGAAAGATGAGTGTCGATGGCTGCTCACACTTAAGTAGTTTCAAAGCAGCCAAAGGGACCGAACCTTTCCGTTTCATTCATTCCTATTTTATCGCCTGCACGACAGCTGACACAAGACGACAGAAGGTGAAAGCCTCTCTTGAAACTTCACAATAAAATGTTTGACTGTTTTATATGCACTGTCTACTATCAGTTCTTTAATGATGATGTCATAAGTAAAGATTGCGTAGTTCGAACAGTGACTTCCTATATTACGCATTAGCCTTGCAGTATGCGATGCCCACTTGCTTACATGCACTTAATACTCCGTTGAGCGAAATCCGGGTTTCCTGGAAATGTCAGACGATATTTTGCAGTGAGATGTGAATTATTTTACGTTTTGTGGAATCAATACGGCTTTTGGCAATAAATAACATACTTATCAAACTATAAATACTGACTAAATTCAAAATCACAGTCATTAGTCGTTTGGTTCAATCGAAATACTGTGACTTCAAATGTACACAAACAAACAAAAGACATTGAAAAAACAACTGCTGATTTGAAATTGGAGTCATAAACTGTCACAAGTATTTTTGCAAAGTACTACTCTGTAGTACATGTGTATATGACTCTTGTAACTGATACTTGCATATCTTTTCTGTTGCCACAGTTTGGCAATATGTATGGCCCTGTTACATTTTGAGTACAAAACAGTTGCCCTACATAGTGGGATGGTAAAATATTTTAGAGAATGTTATTTTCCTATGAAATTATAATGTTTGGGCTACATTTTAAGTTCATATTTACAATATGACACAGTGTCTTCTTTTTGCTTTTCTCTGATGGACAAATGACATTCTCATTAAATGAGAATAGCTATTTACTTTTTTTTTATGACAAACAGCAACTAAATGCACCATTTCAGGTACAATTAGGTAAATTGTTCACTTTTTAATGTAAAATATTCACAAGACAACCAAAACATGTTAATCCACAAGCTACAAACATATGTAGGTTTTATTGAGTGAACATGTTCTGAATGTTTTCATTCGGTAATATAAATTTGTCCATTGTCCTTCCTGCTGCTTGTTTCCAGGATTCATTTCAGTTGCAAATATTGTACATAAAATAATGAATTTCTCTCAACTTAAGCATTGTATGTGACTTTTCAGGCCAAGTCCTGCCTGTGTCACACATGTAGGAAGCACTGTGTGCGTCTCCATGCCTGTCTGTTCTGTGTCTACTTCGGCTGCTACAGTGATCGACACATCCATGACCATGCCAGGAGCAAGAAACACAACCTTGGTAAAATAAAACTGTCATGTATGCAGTGCTTTAAATTGAGGGGTGGTGCTGTCTTTAAGGCTTGCGTTTATCGTACTGCATTTGCAGTAATAGCGCTCCAGGTGCCTTGAGAATTGACCAAGAGGGGAACTTATTCAGCGTTCCTGTTTACCTGTAATTACCAGTTTTTTTACCAGTAAAATTAAGCTTGGACTGGTAGTTCATGTGACTGCCAGTACCTTATAAATCTTTGTTGTTGAGCAAAACAATGGTGATATTCAATAATTCATATAAGTACATTTTTCGAACAAAGTCAGAGGGTTTCCTCTTGTCTATTTCTAGGTTAAATATCCATTAGTAGTGACTTCGTCTCGAAATATTTTTAAAAAAGCAGAAGAGAAAATTGTGACTGAATTTCAATTTCAAAAGCCAGCGGGAAAACTGTTATTAAACATGTTAAAACAATACAAATATTAAGTTTGTTTTCAGATGTTGAGCGGTAGTGAACAATCCTAGTTCAAACGTTGATGAACCTAAAGCTTTTTTGGTAATAGTTACTAGTCAGTGATATAGGTCAACCCTGCTGTTTTATATAACAAATATTTGATACACACAAGAAGATATGGACTGTCTGATTATTAGGGCTGGGACGAGTTCAAATTTACTACCCGGGTACCCACTGTAGGTCTCAGGAGATGTCTCATAGCCCTGGCAAAATATATTAAAATACATGTATTAAACAATCTGGTCATTCATACACTGAAGTTGAATTAAGATATATCTTTGTTCAGCCATATGAAAAATCAGAAGGAATGGGTGCATGGTCAAAAAGAAATGCAAACATTAGTGACTTGTTGTGTGACACAGAGTTCAAGATAATTTTGTCATTAAACAATATATCACATGACCAACCACGGGTCCGAGTAGTTCTGCTGTGGGTACCCGGGTCCTTCTCAGTACCCACCCGACCCGGGTACCCGAGTTACCCATCCCAGCCCTACATATTATGTACATTTTTGTTCTTATTTTGGGGGTGCTTATAATTAGTTACTTGAAATGTGGTTTATTTCAGCCATTGACATGGTGTATGGAGCCATCTACTGTTTCTCCTGCCATGACTACGTGTATGACCGAGAACTGGAGCTGTTGGCTTATGGACTGGGGCGGAAATCGGCATCCTCGCTTGGTCAGTCGGACACATGTAATATCCTGTCATTCTTCTTGCATCCATAATATCCAGAATAATAGTATGATGGCTGGAATGAGATGTACTGATGTTTGAAGGGATCTGCACTTAGTGAAGTTTATTATATTTTCTCTTTGATACTAATAGTTATAAATTTGGTGGGGAAGAACTATTCAAAGATATATTCACCATGTCCATCCTCACTAAAAGATTTTTCAGTTACATTATCGCATTTAACATGTTTAACTTGGGCAAGGTAAATTTAAGAATAAATGTAAGTACATGTGAGTCGGGTGTCTTGCAGCAGCGATTTAACCATGGTAACAAGATTTCCTGTAACATTTGCAGGCCTGAAAGGGTCACTGACTCCTTGGGACCCATCAGAAGAGGAAGTTGCACTCCTGAAACTGAACCCCAAACGAAGGAAAGTTGAAGAGAAATCGACCATAGGTATGTCCCATCACATCATCATGGTGAGATAGTGGAACAATACACTTAAAATGGGGGTTTGGTTTTATATAAAGATGTAACATTGAATTATGTGTTAAACATGTTATAAGAGGGTTCTGATTGGTTCTAACAGCAACAGAAACTAACTGTTTTAGTCCACTAGTCCTTATAATGATAATGTATAGCAAACCCCTTAAAAATGGCAAATTTCTATTTCTATTATGATACCTTAACCTTTGGGCAGTTTTGCAAGGACTACAGGACTAGTGCCAATTTCTAATGCTGTTCTGATGCTGTGACAACATTGGTCTGATTTTTTAGAGAGTTCCTTTTCAAGCAATCCAGTCATGTAGGTGTAGATTTATCCCAATGGTAGGTGTGAGCAAATTGTGGAGCACATCTCACTAGCTGCTGATGTTGCTGTGTATTATTATGCAAGTGTCATTGGCAGGTCTTCGCGGTTTGATCAATCTGGGCAATACCTGCTTCATGAACTGCATCGTCCAGGCCCTTACTCACACACCCATCCTCCGTGACTACTTCCTGTCTGACCAGCACAACTGCCAGACATCCAGCAACTCCAAGCAGTGCCTCGTCTGTGAGATGTCACGCCTGTTTCAGGAGGTATGTTAATAAATCTCATTACAATCAGGTCTTTCACCTCATTACATTATTACTCTGCATGAAGATCTGAAAAACCCTCCATAGAGGGTCACGTCAGGTGTACTGAGTGATCTTTGGTCCTAATCTAAATGGACCCGTGAAGATTCCGGGGTAGAATAGGTCTTCAGCAACCCATGCTTGCCGTAAAAGGTGACTATGCTTGTCGTAAAAGGCGACTAACGGGATCGGGTGGTCAGGCTCGCTGATAGGTTGATGCATGTCATCGATTCCAATTGCCTAGATCGATGTTCGTGATATCAATCACTGGATTGTCTGGTCAAGACTCGATTATTTACAGACCACCGTCATATAGCTGGAATATTGCTGAGTGCGGCGTTAAACAACAAACCAACCAACCAACCTAATCTAAATGAAGGATGCTTGTATTGTTTTTTTAACCAATCAGATCAGATGTCAGTTTTCTAAAATGATTTGACTTCAATGTTTAACCCCTTTGATTTCGAAATTTCAGCCTTAACAGTGGAAAACCGACACAGAACATGAGTAGTCCTTAGATGTTCTCCCTTTTGGATGTAGATACCGTGGCACTCATAAACATAATGATGTAATAGCGGTCATTACTTTTTCCATTCAGAACTGCTGTTTATGCTCCTTTTCAAGATACTGAAATCAGATATGCTGCTCTGATTCAGTCTGAATGCTTCACTTGGTCATACCAGGAACATAAGCTTCAATGCTAGTTGACCTACTGCAATGTTCACCTGACTACCTCTTATAGAGGGTTTTCAGATGTTCGCACAGAGAGTAAATGATTTTAATGAGACTGTGTTGATGGACCTAATGTCCAAGAAGTCTTGTTTTGTATTATAACTGTTTGTCTTATGTCGCCTGCATCTCAATATTCACCGTGAAGAACTGCAAAGTGACTGACATTAATCGCATGCTTGTGTCAGGCAATACTCACTGTCTCCTGTATCTAGTCCAGTTGGTTACTGAAACAATGGAGGGCCAGACTAGCTGCTGCAGTAACTGCAATGTTACACCCCCTAAACTTGCCAGGGTTTGCTGGTTGCTGTTTTAGGGCTAAAAATAATCCTGATAAGAATATTGGTCTGTAAAAAATGCTGTCCATACCCTTGCTCATGGCTTTTATCAATGTAAACATTTGCAACCTAAGGCTTTCCAGTTACATCAAGCTGACACACAGTGATAGTATAGACCCTGTTAGTTTGCAAACTCTTCCTTCATGATGATAACTGTTGTGAATAGTGGGATGTAAGGACATTACTCCTTACCAATATTTGGTAATCCAGAAAATGGTTGCAGGTAATCTAGTTCATTTCACATGAAACACTGTTGTCAGGATTGACAAGATTTCCCTTGAATGGTAGGATGTTTCTCAACCCGATGCACTATTTTGAGCATTTTACTGACTGTTCTTTTTTCTGTTGTATTGTATTCCAAAGGGTTTAATCAGAGAGTAAGGTATTCCAATATTTGGAGTCAACAGAAACCTTTGACCTTCATCTTCAGTTAGGAATGTCACAGTGGATCATGTTTTAATAGACAGCTAAATGGTTATTTACGACAGTCTTTTAATTAAATTAAATATACGAAGGGCTCTTTTGTACAAGGCTGCAATTTTGAAAGTTAATCTATGTCGAACACTCTTTCAAACAAGCCACTATTGATTGCTAGTTAATTTCAAGATCATGAGCTAGAAATTCTGTGCTAAGTTTGTGATAGATAAACAGACAAATGGAGATCACATCACTTCCGTAACAATGCTACAGTGTGATAGTATGAAATGGGCCCATGGTGTTTATCAAAAAGTATGGAGATATAATACCCTGGATAGACTGCAGTTTGAAGTGTCCCAATTGGTGTTTGTAAAACATGCTTTTGTTTGTTACAGTTCTACTCAGGGGTTCGGACACCTCACATCCCGTATCGACTGCTGCACTTAGTGTGGACCAATGCTCGGCATCTAGCTGGCTATGAACAACAGGATGCTCATGAGTTCCTCATAGCTGCACTAGATGTTCTACATAGACATTGCAAGGGTAAGATTTCCAAATTAACACAAGGCAGGTCAAATTTGCACCTTTGTTACCTTGGTCTTGAAACACTACTAATATCTATTTGATAAGACTGTTTGCAGACTGGTGTTAGAGAATCATCAGATCCATTCGTCCAAGTGGACTTAATGTCAAGGACAATTTTTAAAGTTATCCTATCTCACACTATGCATTTCTCTTTCTTCTTTAGATTCTGAGTGGAAACATGTTTGAAATAAAGGTTTTCAGCTTCTGAAGTTACTGTATCCGTACATACCTCATGTGGCCACGATCAGCGCCCAGATCTAGGTCCTGCAAGCTGTGCAAGGTGGTTGACATACTTGAGCTGATCACATGTCTATCCCATTCAACTCATTCTTTTTCAAATCGCCACACAGTGGTGACGTGTTGTTAGTAATAGGGAGGGATACTCGTCTTATGACTCGGAGACTATGCATCACATCTGGGGTCGGAGGATGAACGTTACAATGATTCTATTGGTCATTCATCCTACATGTCTCAATCTTCTTCTTTCACCTATCCGGGTTTCAAACCAAGAGACTACCCTCACACTTTTTACTTTTGTCAAAGACAGGATTATCCTTGGAACCCTGCCTAATACAGTACTTACGCACATGAATTGGAACGATGTCCACACTACAGGGATTCCTATCCTCCAATGCAACGAAACCCCCATGATCCTGCCTTTCCGAATTACAGAACCTTTTGTTCAAGCCATTTTCCCTCTTCTCATCATGATGTTTCTCCCCAGCGTTATAGGGATAGACCACTCCCATCAGCTACCATTGGTAGATGTCCTTCACCTATGGACAGGCACAGTTCTACTTCACCTACTCGTTATTCCGGCTGACCATCTCCACCCCCATTTGGATGGCTTGCTGTTCCTTCTGAACCACATCATACACTTCTGAACCTACTACATGACAGACTCCATCTCAAGCTATCCCTACATCATGGATCTCTAGTTACAGGCTGTAATACCAGCATGTCTTCCCCAGTCGACAACCACTGTACTGACTGTGGTACCTCCCTCTGCATCGACAGCTGCTACATCCCTTTCAGTGAATCAACCTCTAGAATCCGAATCAGACCACTATACCTCCCCAGCCATCTGGGAGCTTCGACATCGCAGATCTGTGCTTATCTTGATAGCAGAGAAGCTACAACTGTCGAAAAGCACTTAAACGGAAGACACCTTATCATCATTTGTTGTAACTTCAGCCTCATCGCTGAACATCACACTCCCTCTAAGACCAGTTCTGCAGGATATGGCATCCAGTTTAGACAAAGAATTTGGATCCTATCACTGTCTTCATGATTGGCTTCAATCTCCACACTTTGTATTGGCAAACGCAGGCACTCAAGGCTTGGCTACAGTTGCTCCTGAACTGGATGGAGACTTCGCAACATTAGCTCCAAAGTCTGTACTCTTGTTCTTCGGTGGATGAGAGGGATCTCATTCACCTCAATACCACTGTTTGAAGGACACTCCCTTTGATCTCTACCATTTTATCGCTTTAGCTCATGCATCTTCCCCAGAAAAATCTTGTATTTGAGGTGCTGTGACCCTCATCCAGGATAAAACGACAGCTTTACTAGAACTTCTAGCTCACCATGTGGGATCCATCACTACTCTTTGTGGACACGAAAATTGTACCATCTACATCTAAGGGATGACCTTCTTCATCAACCATACTCTCACTCTCAGCTCAACCATTGATAGCTAAGGGCTATTCTGTACAAGTGGCCAAGACCATTGCAGGGGCTCACAGGTCATCTACGAAAGCATTGTATGACCATAAATGGAAGGCATTTGAATCGTACTGTCATTCACATGCTATTACATTTCTCCTCTCTCGAGGGGGCTTTTTAATCCTTTTTAGAAGATTGCAGAGGCTAGAAACTTTTAAGTGCATTTGATCAATTATTGGAGTTACTTTAAATTTGTATGATTTGTCATAGTTGTATGTTTATATGTTTGTAATCCATTACAAAAATGCGAAAGATGAAGCTGTCATGGATATGTAAATGCAAATTAAGGCTAAGCTAGAACATTTTTCTTTGGTGGGATTTGGCCATGGTCATTCATAAAATAAAGAGCTGCCTAGTCTAAAGCTGCAAATATTCTTCCTTTCATCTCTGAAGTCTGGTTTATGTCTAGGGTTACAAACCTTTCAAAATATTCCTGATATGAGATATTGAGATGGTGTGATGAGTGTTGTATTTGACCAGGTACCAATGGCCTCAACTCTAACAACCCACATCACTGCAACTGTATCATAGACCAAATCTTCACGGGGGGCCTGCAGTCAGATGTCACCTGCAAAGAGTGCAAGTAAGTCGACAATAACGTGGACATTTAAGTCGTGCAAGATAGTTTGTTTGTTTGCAATAACAAGATGATGTCAGTGATTTACGTAGACCTGCTCGGAGGCCCCATTCTACAGCTGATGTCAGTATGCATTCCCAATTGGAAATAAGTCCCGTCTCATGTTTATCAATTACTGTTATAGCTTCACTGCATCTGTGGTCTAGCGGATAGTGTCTGCCTGGAAATGAAAGGTCGGTGGTTCAAACCCCGATCACGTCATACCAAAAGACGTTAATAGATACTTGTTGTTACTTTGCTTTGGCACTCGGCTTTAACGGAATAGGAGGGGATACTGTGCCTGAGCAGGGTATCTATGTTATCTCAGTCAGCTAGCTAGCTCTATAAAACCAGCATTAGTCCAGATTAGTACAGACAGACACACATCCCTATTTACATGCAATACTTTTGATCTCAATGTTTAGCCTCACCTGACCTGGTTCTGCCTTTGTAGAGCGACTTGTATCTCACTGATAACAGGACCAATCAGGAGATGGATGGGAAGAGGATTTAATGTTTAGTTGTACATTATTCCATTGAATGCAATGTTAAAACACAATTGAACAAAATAATGTTTTCCCTCCAATTTTCCGGCCAAGGACACATGGTTTGGATTACTAGATAAATCCCTGTACACACAGACCTATGAACATCCAGGTTAGAATAAGTTGTCAGACTTGCTGACTTTGTTCATGCATGTCATTATATCCCAATTGTGTGGATCAATGCTCATGATGTCAATCTCTGGATTGTCTAGCCCAGACTTGATTATTGTCAGAAAGACGTCATGTAGCTGGAATATTGCTGAGTGCGGCTTTAGACAACAAACACATACTCAAAACAGATATGACACCGAGCATGCTGAGAAGTTTATAGAATGTGTTAAAAAGGAGGGTGAGGGGATGGAATGTTGTGACAGGAAGGTGGGGTGAGTTTAATGTAGAACCATAAGTTGGGGAGCTGTGTGAGGCAGGGTGTAGTTCCATTATGTATTCTATAATATGTATTCTAACCAAACCTGTGGAAAGTGTCCTATAAACTGTCCATGCTTTGTATAAACTTTTGAGTGGTGTTATCAGAATGGGGGTGGTGGGATGTGGAGTGAACAGGTTGGGGAATGAAAGGTTGGGTGAGAGAGTTGAGAGAAAATGGTGGAATTGAGAATACAGCCTCTTGTTTGGCCTGATATATTTGTAGGAGGGGATGTCTGTAGTATGTGACTGTTTCTAATGTTCAGATTCTGACATTGAACATACCTTTTTTGTGTGTACGAAATGTTGATAATTTATGACTAAATATGTGTTTCATGTTTCAGTAACGTTTCCACAACGATTGACCCTATATGGGACATCTCACTAGACTTGGGCCCAGGGCCCCCTTCCTCTAACAACAACAACTCTCACCTCTCTATCGAATCAGGTATATCGAGAAGTAAATATATTTCCAGCAAACCTTTTATTTTGACGTACCTGCATCACCCCTTTCTCATTCAGGAAGTATGAAATATTGGACATGTTCGACACTCATTTTGTAAAATCAGTACGAGACACACATACATGTGTGAATCTGTTTACTGTTTATTGTGGACCCGTGAAGATCCGGGTTGGAAGAGGTCTTCAAAAACCCATTCTTGTTGTAAGAGATGACTGATGGGATCAGGTGATCAAGCTCGCTGACTTGGTTGATGCAAGTCATCATATCCCAATTGGATCAATGCTCATGACACCAATCCCTGGATTGTCTGGTCCAGACTCAATCATTTACAGTTTGCTGTCATATAGTTGGAATATTGCTGAGTGTGGAATAAACAACAAACAAACAAATCATGTATATTGTGGACATGTTGAGTTGTAACTTTTGTCTGTTAATTGTTAATCATTTTACAAGTGTTGAAGCTTGATGGAAACAGGTTATTCTTGTTGCAAATAACAGCTTGATTCACTTTGATAGTTGCAGGGTGTCTGTCTGGTCTAACTCACAGCAGTTCACAATACAAGTTGCATCCTTCAGCAATGCCAGGATCCACCTGTCTTGGGTTTGAATCCTAAATTGATGGATTGTGAATTTTGGTCTGTCATCACCATACATGAGCTCTTAGCTTTTGCCAGAGTGGTAGTTGTCAATGACCTGCATCACTTTATGGCTTCCACCTGCTCAACGCTAAGCTGATCATTAACCAGTACTTTACCTGACAATGTAGCATCACACATCTGTAAGCATCCTATCAGTTCCCTTCTACGCATAAATATCCAAGAGTTACCGATCTTTTCTTAGGTATTACAGCAAAGCTACTACAGTGGTCACTCTTCTAACCTACGTTCACCTACATTTTGTCTAACTTAGTGTTTAGTTTGACAAGGGAAAAAGTTTGAAAAAAAAAAGATTTTGAATTTGTGTCAATGTACCTCCTTTGCTATCAATAACCTCGTCTTAGGATATGATGTCATATGAGCCTGAAACAGCTCTAGGGCCCCCAACAAGAAATGATGGTTTCATTTTGCTTTGCAGAAGTAGAAGGATATGAAATAATCTTGGATTGAAAATAAGACATGTCACATGAGGCTTGCTAAGGAACATGTAAAGTGCCCAGAACTTTCATTTTGTCCAGAAAAGTTTGTGATTCAAGTTGCATTCAGTCGACTGTCATGCTGCGGACATTTGGAAGACCTGTGTTGATACAACATTTTGTATTTTCCAGGCTACACTAACAGTCCAGGGACCTATGAACCTACCTCATTGATTGAGTGCTTGAAAAGGTAGGTGACTTGGTAATGCTTCTGTATGTTTACAGCCTACTGTACGACACACCATTGGGTGGATAAATCATTTTTATGTGATAGTTGATGTCATCAGTTTGTCATTTTGCATGAGGAATGTGAACAGACATTTTTTTAAATAAATCAAATTTCAAAGGTTTATTGTAAACATGATAGTATTTTGCAAGCAGCAATTCAAAAACCAGATCTCTTTTTGATAATATTGGAAAGACCTGATGAACATGATTTAGATTTCTTTCAATATGATATGGTTGTATTTCATTGTTTACAAATACACATTCTGGAAAGTTGAGGTGTATGTTTTGTAAATAATTTCAATGGTTAATGGTCACATTATTATGTTTATATCCATCCATATTCTCATTTGGTTTATCCAGTCATCTGTGGAATTCACCCTGAATAGTGTGCCTAAGGTGTGACTGGAACTATGGTCATGGGTTCGATTCACTGTTTGCCCTGATTATTTTTCTAGGTGTGTCAGCACCTTCCAATGTTCATGGGTTTCACCAAAGTGTTAAACAACAGAGACATGCATCATTCGGACTTTCCTTTCCACATTAAGCTGACACAAGTGACATAACTGGAATACTGTTCAAAGCATCGTTGAACCAAACTCTCATGTTGTGCACCAAGACAGTATTTCGACACACATTGTCTCCTATACAGTCAAATCCTGTTAATCCGACATGGTTGCATATGATTATGTTGGATTAACAAGTATGTCAGATAAACAGAGTTAAGTAGTATAAATGTTTGTGATCAAAAATCGAATAACTAAGCAACAGATAACATGAAACATGTATGTTGTAATTAAAAAATTAACTAGCAAATATAAATATTATTATGTTATCATGGTTCTATTGTTAGTGGAATATGTTCTCTTATCATGCAACCTCGAAAGGCTTAACACAGGGTATTCTGATCTACAGTTACGGATTGTACGACTGATTCAAAATACTTTTCAAAGAATAAAATGGAATGTAAGTCGCCAGTTTAAAACTAGTGTAACAAAGCTCAAGAAAACTGCTTTCTTAATGGTTATTGTTGACTTCCTGTTAGTCATTTCATTGGCCAGAGTTTGTTCTGATGTGACCTGTAATGGGATGTCCTCAGCAGTAGTGAGAACTTAGATCTGATTTTAAAGAGATTGAGGTAATCTAGAAATGTAATTAATCTTGTCTTGTTTATGTAAAGGATTAATTGTTTGTTGTTAAGCAAGTTTCACTCCAGCCATTGAGTATGCAGCCACAGCCGACTCAGCTCGCATCAAAACATGGGGTGGTGTACTCATCGGCAGATGACCGCAGAGTATACTGATCATCGTGTTGGATTAACAGAAACTGATTAATGTGTGATTTTAGCAATTTGTTGCAAATAAGGTGTGTAAGAGAGCCAAACTGTTGGATTAAGGGATCTAATTAGTGCTGATTTAATACGTTAATAAGTGTTGGATAAAGCTGATTGTCGGATTAACGAGACTTTTCAACTATGTTCATAATTTTATTTTCGACAATATTCATTTTTTCAATTTTCAATGACATCCTCCCAGTGAGTGCACCCAAATAGGTCCCCAGCAAACTATGATTGTCGTAAGAGCTGACAGAATAGATCATGTTGTCATTTGGTTGATTGTGTGTCCATCCTACACCCACAACATGGATTATTGTTCATAATATCAATCTGGTTGGATTGGTCCTGGCATATAGCCAGAATATTTCGTAATGGGGCAAACAACAAATCAGCGACATCCCCATCACAATCAAAGTGGTCTGATGCTTGTTGTGTCTGCAGGTTTACAAAACCTGAGCACTTGGGCAGTTCAGCCAAGATCAAGTGTAGCAAGTGTCACAGCTACCAGGAGTCCACCAAACAGTTGACAATGAAGAAACTGCCGGTGGTGGCATGCTTCCATCTGAAGGTGAGTGGCTACACAAATATTCCCCTAATATTGCAGCAGGTGACACATTGAATGAACTTCAAACATATGTGCCCATATGAGGAATTGATGAGCAAATGCTTTGACCCTTGACATACCCAGAGACATGTTTTGTCAAAAAATAGATTTTGATTATTGATCAGATTGTCTTGACTGGGCACTGCCATTTTGTTTGAAGCAAATACGGAGCACCTTTAGAATACAGTACCACAACTTCTCGTGAGGACGGTCTCTGCCGTAGGTCACATGTCTCAAAGACAAGCAACCAGTTTTTGTGAGAATCCGTAGGATCCCAACTCGCGACCTTCGGATTCTTAGCCCGACAGCTAACCGACTGAGCTACGTCCACACTGTGAAACAAAGTGCAAATTTACCTAGTCAAGCCTACAACGTTACGGAACTGAACGAAAAGGGTCAAATAGGTGACGAACCCTTACAAAGGTTACGGGTAGGCATGGTGTCTCGTGACTTTAGTCTATCGACACTTACGAATGATCCCGATGCCATTTGGCACACTCGTCCCATTCCGTAATCTACAAGATACCGAGTGGCGAGGAATGATCCGATAACGCTCGAACTGAAAACGGCTCAGGGCATCAGACGTCAGACGTCGAACTCGCGAGTGCATGAATGACGAGTTATGTAGTAATTCGTCGGGTGGATTTTGTGACAGAAAAGTGTGGTAGGGAACACTGTAAGGATGATGTGGAAAATAGTAAGGAACGAGGGAGGCATGTGCATGGTTAGTGACGACACAATGGTGAGTTCGCTTTTGAATCACTACTGAAATAATGTAGCTGGTGAAAGTGGCTCGTGTGAATGTTCCAGGACAGTTTCCAGTAGCCAAAGTATTTGACACAAAACCATTTAATTCTTTTTACTCTATGTTTTTGGGTGAAGAATTACGTTTAGGAGAAACTGAACAGGTAGATTTACCGAACCCTAATGATCGTGAAGGGATGATTGATCGTAAAGGGGATCCAAGGGCTAAGGACAGAATTCGGGTAATCTAATAGCCACTAAACCGGTACCTAACCCTAATGATCGAAAAGGGGTGATTGATCGTAAAGGGGATCCAAGGGCTAAGGATGGAGTTCGGGGTAATCTACCCTAACACTAGCAAATTTGGATGTGTTCAGCGTCAATATAATATCCCTAATAAACTACATTCTTGTGCATAATAATGAAAATTAATGCACCGAAAAAATAATATATGTATATTAGTTCCCATTTATAACCCTTTAAGCCACTTGAATTATGAGAAAAACAAAATAAAAAATATATAAAAAATAAAAGTGCTTTCGTAAACTAGCACTTGCTATAAAATGCGCCGCCGCAGGCTATATTCAGTAAACAAATATTCAAAACTCTCCACAGCGCTTGGCGTATTCAATGACATTTCTTTTAGAGATGGTAGATCACTGGGAGGAGCTTATGCACACTCAATGACCCTTGACGTCACAGGACATTGTTTCGCCAGTGTGACTGGCAACAAAATACTACAAATTACGTCATAGGCTATTGTCACGTGTTTGAAAAGTTTGTGGTACTGTAAAGGTAGGCCGCAAATGCAAGTGATAAGAGAGGTGGAATCTGATTGGTCTGTAGGAGGGACATTGAATTGACACAGCTCGTAATAGCCTAGTTGGGCAAGGGTGGAAAGTGGACTTTTACAGTCTGTTAACTCCCTTGCCTAGGGAAGATGACCCATATACGATATAGTACAGTGTGAATTTTGCACAGTAGATAATCAGTGAGACTAATGCAACACAATGCATGCTAACCCCACTTGTTTATCAAGTACCTATCCCAGAAAAAGATTGATACAGTACCACAAGTTTCTGTTTTGATGTGTCTATTTTTGTGGTTAAATAGTTATAAATCTTGATGCTCCACCCACTAACAATGTGTCATTTAGAGTTTATATGCCTTAGTGAACATTAGAGTTTAGCTTAAAATGAAGAGTCTGTGTAGTGCTAATTATGTTGAAAATAGTGACTGTTGCAGCAGTCAGGTATATGCCAGTTATATCACAGCAAAAAATATCAAGGCATAGCAAGAAAGGATATCTGTGGAAACCTGCTGAATTGGTCAGTGTTGTCATGATTAAGGTGGTCACATACATTTACCCATATTTGTTTTGAGTTATTTTGAATTATTTTGCAACCTCATGTGTTTAAGTGTTTTTAAGAAGATGTTATTTTGTTTATTGCAGAGATTTGAGCATTCCACAGGCTACCATAAGAAGATCTCAACATTTGTATCATTCCCAGAAGAACTAGACATGACACCCTTCATGTCTTCTTCGAGAAACAACAACAATGGCTACTCAAATCAAATTGTGCAGGTCTCTGCCAAAGGTCTTTCATGTGAAAACAAGTGAGTGGGAGAAACAAGAAGTTGACTTTTGTAGATGCAGCATCGGTTGACTTCAGTAGATGCAGCGTCGGTTGACTTCCGTAGATGCAGTATCGGTTGGCATCAATAGATGCAGCGTTGGTTGACTTCTGTAGATGCAGCTCGGTTGAATTCTGTAGATGCAGCGTTGGTTGACTTCCGTAGATGCAGCATTGGTTGACTTCTGTAGATGCAGCATGGGTTGACTTCTGTAGATGCAGTATCGGTTGACTACCGTAGATGCAGTATCGGTTGGCATCAATAGATGCAGCGTTGGTTGACTTCTGTAGATGCAGCGTTGGTTGACTTCTGTAGATGCAGCGTTGGTTGACTTCCGTAGATGCAGTATCGGTTGGCATCAATAGATGCAGCATCGGTTAGCATCAGTTGATGCAGCATTGGTTGACTTCAGTAGATGCAGCATTGGTTGACTTCAGAAGATGCAGCATTGGTTGACTTCAGTAGATGCAGCATTGGTTGACTTCAGTAGATGCAGCATTGGTTGACTTCTGTAGATGCAGCATTGGTTGACTTCTGTAGATGCAGCATTGGTTGACTTCTGTAGATGCAGCATGGGTTGACTTCCGTAGATGCAGCATTGGTTGACTTCAGTAGATGCAGCATTGGTTGACTTCAGTAGATGCAGCATTGGTTGACTTCTGTAGATGCAGCATTGGTTGACTTCTGTAGATGCAGCATGGGTTGACTTCCGTAGATGCAGCATTGGTTGACTTCTGTAGATGCAGCATGGGTTGACTTCCGTAGATGCAGCATTGGTTGACTTCAGTAGATGCAGCATTGGTTGACTTCAGTAGATGCAGCATTGGTTGACTTCTGTGGATGCAGCATTGGTTGACTTCTGTAGATGCAGCATGGGTTGACTTCCGTAGATGCAGCATTGGTTGACTTCAGTAGATGCAGCATTGGTTGACTTCCGTAGATGCAGCATTGGTTGACTTCAGTAGATGCAGCATTGGTTGACTTCCGTAGTTGAATCTCGGTTGACTTCTGTAGATTCAGCATTGTTTGACTTCTGTAGATGCAGCATTGGTTGACTTCTGTAGATGCAGCGGCCGTTGGCATCAGTAGATTCCGTATCGGTTGACTTCTGTAAATTCAGCAACGGTTGACTTCCGTAGATGCAGCATCGGTTGACTTTGGTTACAAATGATGAGCTTCTAAAACTTGTACAACTACAATGGGCAATGTATCATCGATTTTCATTAGAAGATCAATTTGTTTGAAGTTTCTGTGTGATAACTAGGTCTATCCTGTGCCACCAGAGGTCTCTCAGTATGGCAATTCAGGGCAAACTATCCACAACATGCAGTGCAAGGGACAGTGACCATCTCCATCGATCTCACCTATCAGTAACTTCACACAACATTTCTCCTGTTTATTATTTGATTTGATGGATGTTTTACAAAGAAATCTTTCTATTTTGGTTTCTTGTTCTGACTTGACTTTTTTCTCTGGTTGGTCGAATCTGTAAACCAAAAATTTAGATAAGTACTCCCTGAGCAAGTATTTATACATTCACATTTTATATAAAATTTGTTACTTATTGATTTTCTTGAAGCATAAATTTGTATACTGATCACTGATGTTTCAGATACTCTTTGTTCTCTGTGGTGAATCACAGTGGTACCATAGAAACCGGTCACTACACATGCTACATCCGCCTCCACAAGGACCAGTGGTTCAAGTGTGAAGATCACATGATCACAAAGGCATCACCAGAAGAAGTTCTCAATAGTGAAGGGTAATGCCTTCTGCAAAGTCCTATCTGAATGAGAAACCTGTTGTGGCAGAACACATAGCAGTGAGCAGTAGACAGTCCTACCTAGAAACTACAAACATAATTGTACACCACATTCTAGGTGACCAGGGTGGAATGTGTCCCCAGCTTCCCACTGCTATGAATACACAAAGTCGATTTATCTCAATGTCCCCATTGCGAGTTGTAAAAGGCAACTAATTTGGGATAATGTACAGGACAGAGTCAAATTGATCCCTTGTAATATATGATGGTTGTACTGGTTTGTCTGGTCCACTTGATTATTTACAGGCTGCCCTCATATGGCTGGAGTACTTCAAGACAACAGAGAGATACTTGTTACCCCTTTCATCTTTCACTTCAGTTATGTTTCACTTTTTTTCTTGGTGGAAACCTCTAAAACATAATGATAGTTTGCCCAGTCCTTTCCATCATAGACAAGGGCACTCCTTTAAGATCAATGACCTGTTACAACTGTTTACACAAAGGGCATTGAGTATGCCATTTAAACAATCCCTGTCTTATTATAGCCCAGTACTTAATGCTTTTAGAGCTAAATAAAATATGCTTTGGGACATTATTACCAAAAGTGATCTTAGCACATATTTAGCAATTTTGTATGTGAGCCGATGGACAGATAACATGATTTTCATAAGATGTGTGTGACGTTTTCTGTTTCCTAATTGTTTCTTTTCTCTTTCAGGTACCTTTTGTTCTACCACAAGCAGATCCTGGAGTATGAATGACATACGTGGCTCTTAGGAAATGTTTAATTTGTCAATTACTTGCTCAACTGTTGTAATTCAGGTGAAATCAAACGGATGCACTACACCTTGCCTGTCGCTGCCTCATCATTTTGCCAAGCCATGATTAACCCTCATCCAATAACCTTGAGCTGTACCTTGGGTGGCACCTTGGGTTACACTTTGGTTTGTACCGGCCCAGCAATGTGACATGACTGTAAAGCCAGTCTACCGGTGGAACACACTCTATATGGTTGATAGCTGGTATAGCAAGTTGGTGATATTACAGACATATATTGCCATAATTACCACTCACTTCTTGCTGTTGGCAATGACAATTAAAACACTGCGTTTAAAAAGTCACAATGGGTAAAGGGTTACCGTGCTGATGTACAACCACAATCACTCTGCCCCACCCTAGTATTCCACCCTGTGTTGAGCTGCATCTGTATCAGACAAGTCTGATATACGGGTACTCAGATGAACGGCCAACACCACACAGCAGCCATCTACCTTGATGGCCTGGCATCAGTGGGAGAGAGCCTGCAAGGGTATTATGTGAATGCTGTATAGATTAGCTAATCAAGCCACGAGGAGTGTCGGCTATCATCTGTACATATCATGAGAGTACTTCTACTTCAGTGTGAACAATACATGTGTATTGTCAAGTAGCTGTTTTACTATGCCAAAGATTATTTTGTTACTTTATGTTGTGATACGCTTCTTGCCTGAATGTGAAGCTAGGTTGGAGCTGTCAAATCGGCACCTTGACTTGTGCTGAAGTCTTTCAGTCAGTTTCTAGATTTACAACATCCTTCTCATTAAGTCGACAACAGTGACTGTAAAGTAGTGCTTCTTGGTAGATCAACAAACTAAATCAAAAACAAGTGCTGCCCTTTGATTGATTCTGAGTTGGTCTGTTTTGTTGAATTGTAACATACTATTTATAGTCCTTTGAATGTCATTTGGGAAAATTAATTACTACTTAACTATAACACTGCCATTCTCACCTGGTGTGAGTTTTTTAAGTATTTATCAAAACAATTCTTTTGATTGGTAACATTGTGAGGTGTGGAAATTGCGTTTCTTTAACACACAGCATAGCTTTAGAATTAAAGCGATATACCAAGTTCATTAATTACATGCTTTGTAGTGGTTTCGGTTTTTATTTATGGTCAAGTTTAAATATCAAGATGGAGGGTGATTGTTATATTATGGTCCTGATTCTTGTTCCTATGTAATAACGAGTTCAATTGTTGCATTGTTGTTTTCAAAGCACCTTTGATGTTTATTGCTCTTGCACCTGGTCTTGTTTAGTTTTCTGATCTTTACATGGTATTTCTTGGTTATCATTTTTCAATTTACCTTTAAGATTAAAAATTCTGTCAGATGGAAACAGTAGAAACAGCTAGTAATAAATGATGCATGTGACAACATAATGGTTAACAGCTCCAAATATTTAGAAATCCTAAGTAATCTAGATATGAGGTCACACAGAAAAATTATAAAAAAGAAATCAAAAATAATTTTGGTCACAATTAGTTTATTTAATTTATCAAAGAGGGAATGATGGGATGTTTTAACAATATAAGTCAGAATGTTCTCTATTTGACATTTTGTGATGTCATTTAGAAACATTTTTAAAGAGTTATTATATAAGTTCCTTTGATTTAATTAGATAAGTACTTGTACAATATTAGACTGTACCTTTCTGATTTTTTTATTATTGGAATAATTTCCTGTTTTGGGGTGATACTTAATAAGGTTCCAATAACTTGATTCATTTTGACAAACTATCTTATCAAGCTGTTAACAGAATTAAGAACTTAATCCAGAGTCATTTAATATCAATTTCACCAACTTTTCCTGTCCACTCCCCCCAAATAAGCATAAAAAAGTGCATATGGCTTTTTGTATTTTCTAATGGATGTTAGATCATTTAGAGCTGATTTGGTTGATTGTTATCAGAATGTTAAGTTTCTCACACCTGACAGAGATTTAATGTTCTTGTGTGTTCGAAAAGACAAATCCACCCCTTACTCTGATCCATCATTTAGCATTAAGATCCTTATTCATGCATTTGGGATGATTTGTTTGTAAGCTTTATACTTGTTAAACCTCTGCCATGACACAAGATCTCTTATGGGTTTCAGTATTTTGACAGAATATCATTGATCATGTCGAAGACAATACAAACTTTGTGCTAAAATATCCAGATATCACAACCACTTTGTCTTGAGAGGATGTCAGTTATTTTTTATTGAAACTTTAGGGTATGGACAATAGGTGTCACAGTTCAGTGTCAGTGAAACGATATGTGTGTCCATAATATATTGTTCACTGTTTATCTTCCTCTATCAATACACAATTCTTAGAGTTAACCATAAATGTCAATACAGTCTTTTCTGTGATGGTTCAACAGGACTGCACAGATGCACAATGCTATGCTCAGATGTACACTAGGTTATTCAGAATCTTTTAAGTCTGTGGATAAGTTGGGGGACGTTTGCCATGTATTTTATTACCTTGTTTACCAATTCATTGACAATGTGTCAAAACAAATTCAACAGGGTGTCGTCAGAACCCTCTATATTCCTCCAGGCAATTATGTACAGTTAACCAGATTAACCAGCTTATCCAGATTGTATTGATGCAGTGGTATCTGCTAGATTAACCAATTGCTGCATTAAGAAAGTTTTCCAGATTTACAAAAGGGCTATGAGATCTGCATCAATTTGGGCTTTCTTCCCACATAAAGCTGACACGCAAGGATATAACTGGAATACTGTAAAAAACGGTGTTAAACCTAATTCGCTCACTCACTAGATTAACGAAACATTGTTATGTAATAAGTTTGCTTCATTACAAAATTAAGTTTGCCATCAATAATCCCCCACAGGTTGTCGGAGTAAAAGGGTGTCATCGCATAAGGTAAGTGTTGTTAGACCTTGCCAATTTCTGCCAAAGGGACTCAATGCTTCTAACAAATGACAACCAAGTTTTGTTTGTCAACCCAAATGATACGATGGTGTGTTCTGTAATCTGTATCTTTATCAGTGTTTTACCAGCCACCACTTATGTCTGTCAGGGAGCTAGACCATAGGGAAAGGTTTTGTACTGTAGGAACCAGCTATACAGTATACCTCAGTGTAAGAAATGGTTTAATACCAAACATGACAGCGAATTGCAAGTATTAGTGATAATACTTATATTAATTGCCTTTTTGTACATTTATTATATTTTCTTCCTATCCTCTAGAAAGCTGTGATATGTTGCAAGAAAGTTTTGCAAAGTATGTTTACTAAACTGCATTGTCTTGAGCTTACAGATAATGCTTCCGGGACACTTTGCGTTCTGACAAAGAAATTATGTTTTGACAGTTCACAAATTAAGTATTTGTTGAACACTCAAAAGGTTAGGGAAACAAGATTAATACAGCAATTTTGAACATGGTTAAAGGGTTAAAGGGCTTCTTTAACTCATGTTCTGGCCTTAGTGCTCAAGTACATCTTATGACTTAAGTCTGACTTACAAAGATTATTTTAGAAAAATGTCCTCCTTGTTTTGTGATGATGTTCATTCAAACTTTTTGATCGTATTTGTATTTGAAATGCGTTTTCCATGTTTCAACATGTTGTAAATTTGAATTTCAATTTAACCAAAAATGGCCCTTATACCTTGTCCTTCAAAAACTGCATGGTTTGGCAATGTTGACCCCGATGTTATAAACATGAGAAATGATAGAAACTAATCTTTGAATGGTCATTTTGTTTTCAGGATGCACAGATAAGTATGAATGTTTAATTATGTGTTAAAGCTAAGTTTGCATATGCATTGAATTTGAAAATGCTTTAAAGTTTTTGTAATTGATTATTTTTTTGCTGTCTTGTTGGTAGAGATGTCAGCCATAAGGCTGGTTTGCCATTCTTCACTGTGTATTGTGTACAGTAATTTTTAGTTTCCATGATCATTTGCCAATGTTGTGTCAAATATAGTCTAGATAACTTGTTTGTGGATAAGTTGGCAGTGTGGTGTAAACTTTGGTTCAAATGCTGCAGGTAAGGGTCTACCAATCTCTCGGAATTTGATATTTGTATATGTGCCTGGCAACAATAATTCTGTTATGTGTATTGTAAAGGGGAAAGACAATATTACCAGTATATATAGTAGTGTTATTACTGGTTGTTAAAATAGAGCAAACATTATTTAAGTTTCCTTTAAATGACAGATTCCTCCTTAAAGTAAGATTAAAATCATTTTGGCCTTCTTCACACATCAAGCTGGCACACCCTGATACAATTGAAATATTTTAAAAAAAAACATTAAATCAAACCTGCTCTTCATTTATGTTGCTAAATTAAAACATGAATTCACAAAAAAATGAAAGTTGATTCTGATGAATAATTAATTTGAGACCCTATTACAATTGTTTAAAGGAAATTAGATTTCTGTATTATGTGATAACTGTCCAGAAGAATATAGTGAGGACTGACATTTAATCTGGATCACTGTAACCTTGACTAAAATCCTGGGGTGGAAGTGGTAGCAGATGCTCAAGTAATATACAGACAGAGCTACTTTTTGAGTATGAAAGAATAACCGGGTACTGAACCAAGTAGATTACATTTCTTTACCAGAAGGGAAATCATCCTTTGATTGTTCGTGACATTTGACCACACAGATGACATGCATCAATACAATGGCTCACCTTTGACATAAATATATGAATTGTGGTTTTGGTTCCTATTACACTCAATTTCAGAACATGGGTAGGTAGGTAGCCTTGTTTTTTTGGCTCACCTGACTAAAAGTCAAGCAAGCGCAAGTCATGGCCAGCTCGTCCCGCTTCATTGTTGTCAGCAGCTGTAAACATCTCAAACCACTGGATCAATGAAGCTGAAAATTCACATGCTTATTCCTTCCAAAGGTGCCACCTTACTTTCTTGAAGGGGTTTGAATCCAATTTTCAATATGGCCGCCCTAGCAGCCATATTGAAGCTTTTTATGGCCATTTTGCATTATTTGAATTGTTTAATAGTATATCCACCTGAATTTCTCTCAAAATACATTTTTGGCCCTGCAGACATTACTGAAATTGCACACTGCGGATACGGAACCAGGAAACCTTTTTTTGAAATTTAGTTACTTGTTTCATATTTGTTAATACATTTTCCCTCTGTATTTATGCAGACAATTTGACAGCAACCTTTATGTTGTTGTCTTTTTAACATCTAAAACTGTTGACTACATGTCAAGGTGAGCTACAGTGCCGTGGCATTATTTAAAAAGAATAACGCACCTATGTTGGTGCTGTGTGCCCCTTCATCTGTATCAAAGAGTGGCGAACATAGGTGGCCAAGGCATGCAAAGTTGAGCCAGAATCCTACAATACTGGGTTCGAATCCCAGGATTGCCCTGATTATCATACTTTGTTTGTCAGCACTATACCCTTGCTCGTAGGTTTCACCAAAGTGGTAAATGTCTTTGATCTGCATCACTTCAAACTTTTCATCCACATCAAGTTTAAATGAAATACTGTTCAAGTGATTAGCACTGAAAATGAAAGAGGGTTGGCACCTTAATTTAGGCTCAGTTGGGTAATTGCAACCACATCACTTTCTTTAAATCCCCAACTGAAATACTGTCCAGAGAGTCATTAATCAAACTTACACATTACCCAGAGACTGTTTTTCAAACAGTTTATGGTTTCTCTCACATGTTGTATTGTGGATCAGAACTCATGAGTCTTATCATCACTTGTAAGTGTAGTGAGCCTATTGGTAACACTGTGAGAAACTTGCTTTATAGACCATGATTTTTTTTGTCAATGCTTAAGTAATTGTCAAAGATGTACATCACAAACAAACATTCCTTAATATTCCTCTGTATTGCTTGTAAATTCTGCAAGTTGACACCAGCTAAGGCCATCTGTACTTTTCTCTGTTTCTCATCTACTGATCCCAAATTACTTTTATTAAATTATTTTTATATGAATTTCCTGTCAGTGCTATGTTATTGTAGGAGGTTTTGAAAGAAAGGAAGGAGCTCAACCAATTTACATCTTTTAAGCCCGTTGAACATCTGGGTCAGAATAGGTCTTCAGCAAACCCAGGCTTTCCGTAAGAGGTGACTGACAGGATCGGGCGGTCAAGCTCGCTGACTTGGTCCTTGCATGTCATCGTATCCCAGTTGCATGGATTGATGTTCATGATATCAATCACTGGATTGTCTGGTCAACTATTTAGGCTGCTGTCATATAGCTCAAATATTGCTGAGTGTGGCATTAAATCACAAACAAAAACATCTTATTTCATCTTTTAAAACCAATGGTAGTTTTTTGGAGGATTTAAAAAATACAATTGGTAAGTTTTTTCCAACTGACCACTGCTCCATCTGAAGCTGATCGTGGAAATGGGAAACAAAAAATAATATGGATGGCCTAATGTCCAGTTGTTATGTTGTGCACAGGTCTTCTTCAGGGTATTAAAGTTCCTCCTCACATGTGTACTCCTTGCAAGATCCTTATTGAATGTTGGTACTTTGGAGTAGTTTTTTATATAACATCATCTGAATCACATTTCAGCTCCCAATGGATGATTAAATAGGGCATTCGTATTTCTTAACTCTCAACATGTATTTTCTCGCAAAACTGTTGGCATTATCTGAATCTGATATATTGTGTTCATGTGACAAAGTGTGAGTATCTGAGTAAACATATTAGACTGTGTAGACCAGTTAAATGAATGATCTCAATATTGGCAGTGAGATATTATATTAACCCTGTGTAATTGAGATGGATAGTGACATATTTGACACATTAAGTGCTAGCTACAACTGTGAGACTTTGTATATTTCTGCTTGTGAGTGTTGACATGGAGCCTACATGTCCTTTACATGGATGTTAAGTCCATATTTTACTGTATCTTGTTTGTTGGTGCTACTGTCGGGACCCTTCAGGCTCACTTTGTTATGTATAATGATAGAATGCTTGTTCAGTTGACAGGGCAGATAACTCCAGTTGCAGGAGACATTTTCTGATCAAACTCTTTATCTCCATAACCTTTATAGTGGGTTGGCCTTATGGTCCAGCTACCACAATAGTGAAGGGTTGCATCCCTTTGCAGGATCCGTTGATTGTGGGTTCAAGTCCTAGATTTTTCTGGATAATGATCCATGTTTGTCGGCACCATAGCCATCATAGCCATCATTTTGAGAGGCCCTGGGTACTTATTACATTGAATATGGTATTTGCATTTGTACTACTTTTGTTCTTACAGAAATAACATTAATTCATAAGAAGTTAAGGTAAGCTTCAGTTAAGACTGAACACCCCATGTTGATGTGCCAGGCTGCCACACAGCCTCTCCCTGTAGTTTCCCCAGTGACAACTAGTCCCCAGTTAATAATGCTTGTATGGAAGCCGACTGAAATAAGGATTGGCAGGCTGCAATCTGCTGCCTCATTGTCCTACCCTTTTGCTGTGGATCCCTGCTCTGGTCTGATGCTAGTCATCAATTCCTCAAGAGCATGACACCTGACCCTCATTATTGTAATGGATAAGCATCAATGATTGCACTGATAAGTACCAAATGATATCTGTCCTGTTGACTGAGCTGAAGATTGCTAATGTTTGTAGCTCAAGTCAGTTTGAGTTGTGTGTGTTAAGTTATACCAGTCCTAGTGTTAAGTTTGATCATGGTTCCAATGAAATGTAATTGTTGATTTGTACTGGATGTATATTCAGATCTGAGAAGTCTTCTACCCCTGAAGTGCTGACTTTGACTGCTGATTACTATACTATTGCACAGAGTGCAAGTTCAAGTCGTATATTTATCATTGATACTTGCTACTGATTTTCAGAATTATACATATTGATTGTTGCGAGAGTTTTGTATGTAAAAATGTGTATGTGTATGTGTTATGCTGAATGGAATGATATTACAAACATCAAATGAAATACCTTGTCACTTTTCTTTTCTTGTGAACATTAGATTATTAGTCATCTGATTGGCAAAGAGTTGCCAAACATCGCCAATACAAGTTGGTTGATGGTGTGGTTGAAATGATCTTATTCATTCGCATGGTGAGTGTTCATTCACCAAAGAGGGGCGGTGGGGTAGCCTGGTGGTTGAAGCGTTTGCTCGTCACGCCGAAGACCCGGGTTCGATTCCCCACATGGGTACAATGTGTGAAGCCCATTTTCCGGTGTCCCCCGCCGTGATATTGCTGGAATACTGCTAAAAGCGGCGTAAAACCATACTCACTCACTCATTCACCAAAGTCTGGGTTCAATTCCTGCATAGGTACATTGTAAGAAAATAAAAGCGACGAATCCCTTTCCATATTCATATGAAATCTTTGCCAAAAAAAGATTTACGATTCGGACTGTCATGAGCATATGTAGTGTTTATGAATCACTATCAAATAGTGATGATACCAGTTGGACGCGAATAGATGAGCGTATCTTGCCCCATAGGTGGCATCCATCACAAACACATACAGAGGCAAGTCAATTGTTCACCTGAAAAAAACCAAGGGAACATATGGTACAAGTCAAAATAAGGATATGCATCGGACATCGTTTTTGTCACTGATGCGTCAAATTTTAAATGTCCTCCACATGTCTACCATAAAATTTTTGGAAAGCTTTACAGAGGGTTTGAGGGGCGGTCGGGTACCCGAGTGGTTAAAGGGTTCGCTCGTCACGCTGAAGACCCGGGTTCGATTCCCAACATGGGAACCATGTGTGAAGCCCATTTCTGGTGTCCCCCCCCCCCCCCCCCCCCCCCCCCCACACCTTGATATTGCTGGAATATTGCTAAAGCGGCGTAAAACCATACCCGCTCACGACTGAGGGTTTGAATGTTGTAACCTTGATAAAACAAACTTCTGACCAAGTCGTATAACGCTCTTTGAAACCTTGGGAGAAAGAGCGATTGTACCTCAAAAGTTGTGAAATGTAGACGCCAAATGCTTGAGCTCCTAGAATATTGCTCCACAAAAAGGGAAAGTTAACTTTTGGAAAGTTGAAGTCATCCCTCTTGTCATACAGTCTTGTGGAGATTGTTTTGTCACTTTGAATCTTTATGCACAGATATCTGATACAGCGCATATCTTGTGTCTTCCGCTATGGTGTTGCTGGAATATTGCAAAAAGGGACATGAAACCATAGTCCCACTCACTCTTATTCACAACATGAGTACACGCTTGCACTTTGAATCATTGTTATCGATTGTTCACAAAGGTGAAGACCGCCTCCGTGGTCTTGTGGTAGAGCGTCCGCCCGGAGAGCGGAAGGTCCAGGGTTCGATCCCGGGCCGCGTCATACAAAAAGACGTTAAAAGATTGTACTTGTTGTTACCCTGTCTTGCGCTCGGCATTAAGGGGCTAAAACAAGGACTGGTCGGCTCGGAGTCAGTATACTGTGTCTGAGTGGGGTATTCATGTTAAACTGCGGCATGGTATCTCAGTGAGCTAGCACTATAAATCGGCATCAGTACGGACTAGTACTAGCAGCCACACACACACATACACGTGCATGCACGTCGCTATATAAGTGCAATAATCTTGGACGCGACGTTAAACCCAATTTCACCTCACCTCACAAAGGTGACTATCATACTTCAATGAAAACTAATCTATATGAACTGAGTTATGATAGATTTGTTACATATCTCTATCAACCTCCAGTTTCAGGCTGTACAAGCTCATTATACTCAGAATTCCCCAAGCAACCATCCTACCAAATGAAAAAATTTAGAAGGGCGTTGAATGATAAGTTAGTGACTCGCATTGAAGGAATTGAATAATAATAAAATCTTTTGTCGTAGATAATACATGATGTAATAGGTATATCCGAACACAAAAACTTGTTTCGCTATGACAAACTGTTAAATTAAGCAGGGGTCTCTGACGTTCATTGATCAAGTACTTGCAAAAGAAACGACTTAACACCAAAAGCATCCATGAAGATAATGAACACAACACAAGGGAAGGGTGCCCCTTCCTGTGCCACTGTAAAGAGGTGGGCAGAAGCGTTTCAGCGTAGCAGGGAGAGCATTGAAGGCGAACCATGTCAAGGAAGGCCAATGACGCCAGCAGCTCCAGAGAATCCACGATAAGTGACGACAGCGTCATATTGCTAGCTCAGTTGGCATTTCGTAGCAAATATACATTCCATTATCACAGTAAATTTGACAAAGAAACAAGTATCAGCTCGTTGGAATTTATAGCTTCTGGCATCTGATGAAAAACGCACCAACCAACATGTTTTGTGATAATCAAGCTATGTTTGAAGCTGAACCAGAAAGGTTCTTGCAATGATTTGCAATCATGGATTAAACATGGATTCATCATTTCCAGCCTTAGTCCAAACAACAATCAAAACGATGGGAGCATTTGACATCACCACCACCAAATAAGACAAAGGCTGCCCCCTCAGCTGAAAAGGTGATGGCCTCCGTGTTCGTGCCGAGGGTGTCGTCATGATTGACTGTCTTCCGAAAAGGCAAGACGGCAACCGGAGCATATCATGGTATGTTTAGGGAAGCTGTCCAAGAGTTCACCCGTTCTTTGTTTCTCCACGGACAAAATATAAAACGATTCAAGATACTTCCACTTTCGCTTCCTTTGTGTATGGAAACATCAAATGTAACAGCAAGCAGGTTTGGGAACACTTCCAGAAGAGTACAAGAGCTATCATTTGGTGCCTTTTGCTTTGATAATTTCAACTTCAATAATATTTTGTATCATTAAATGCTTAAGAGCATTCACACTCAGGATAAGGAGTTTGATCAAGTACTACTTAGTATCCAAATACAACAATTCACGTTTTGGTGAGGGTTATGGAACTATTTTCAGTTTGCGAAAGACAAATTCTAAAACTGATCATTTGTTAAGGTAAATTAGAGATGAAATACAAGGTATGATGAGTTAGTTTCTCAGGTATATCAATCTTTGGGTTGTTAGTGAATGAAACTTATAAAAAGAACGCAACCTTACAGAAATACGTTTGCATACATTTCGGATGGCATTAGTACAGTTTAGATTTCGTTCCCATATAGGAATGGATAGAAAAGAAAGGATATGCAAAATGTGTATTGCCTCAAGCGGTACGTTTGCCTTGTGGCTCCAGATTTTAGTACGGGTGACTGTGGTCTGGGGCGCCTCAATCTACTGTTCAGTTGATTCCCTTATCAGTATCGGTATCTGCTTCTACAATTCTCTTGGGGGCACAGATGGCCCAGTCGTCTAAGGCGCCGCGATTCGCTGTGCAGAGTTGCGTCCCTTGTGCACGCCAGAAACCTATGATTGTGTGTTCGAAGCTCGGTTCGCCCCGATTATGTTTCAGCACCATACCCGTGCTCGTGGGTTTCACCGAGGTGGTAAACGTCTGAGACCTGCATCACTTCGGGCTTTCCTCCCACATTAAGCTGACACGCCGTGATATAACTTGAATACTGTTATAAGCGGCGTTAAACCCAACACACTCACTCACTCTACAATTCTCTCCAAGTGTGATACTGACTGTCGGCGCATACGTGTACATGAGTTTCATCAACCTGGTAAATGATCTACGTCACTCCAATGCACTCGGAGATGACAACTCTGACGCTAAATTAATGTTCAAAGCGGCCTTAAACCTCTTCAAGTAACGGGAGGCTAGTTAAATCCCACCGAACTCGATCAGGTTTCTACTATTTAATAGCCAAGCATGGATGAGTAATATGTTCGCTTTAGTAATAATGCATACAGGTTATTAGCTGAGTGTTTTGGTTTCGCACATAACTTATATTAGGAGTACAAAATGTATAATGGGCCCTTTGGCGAAATGTCATGCAGCCATGTTTGTTTGCGTGTTTAGACTACACATTGGAAAACCCCTATCTAAGAATATTGGGAACGTTAGTCAATAGTTTAATAAGAAAGAAGCATCGCTTTGTACATGGAGCTTAAAAGTACATGTACCTCTGCTTGGCGACCTCATTTGCATATTTGGATCACAATACGGCCAAATTTATCGGATTGGTGTATCTCATCGATAACACAAGCCTTGTATGATACACTACTGTGAATCTGCGTACTTTATTGGATAAACTTCAGAATACATAACAGGTAAACAAACCGTTCATGCATATACACAGTGGAAACCCATCAATCCGGTCTTACCGTTCCTTGTAAAATCGTCGGGATTAACTAATAGTAAATAGTAGTGTTCCTTTGACTATATATGTATATAAACTGCAGAGTAAACAGAAGTATACACTTGAAAATTGAATTTGACCCAGAAAATACAAACATTTAGTTCGCAAACACATTGTCTGGAATACGGGCTTCTGGGTTGACAAGGTGTCCTTGTATTTTCAGAACGAGGGATGTCGTTTCCTGGTGAAACCAGGTGAATATGGTATGAAATGGTATTAAAATCCCCAAAGGACAAGAATTTGTGTCCGCAATCCGTGTCAGGAACCAGGCGGGTTCGAATCGAAGACTTGCACCAGTTGTGATCATTGGTCTGTCAACACACCCGTGCTTTTGGGTTTCACCAAAATGCTATATTCTACGGCTTATACGCCATTGGCCGTATTTCCCATCTTAACCTGACAGGCTGTGATGAAGCTTCAATACTGTCTGAAGCGGCGTTAACCCGAAAATTACTCCAAGGGTATAATAATGATGTAAATATATACACATTCTAAATGTTCGAGTACCCACATAGCAGTCGTACCAAAATTATCTTATACAAAAAATAAAAAAACTGTGCCAGTATTATGACCTGACAATATACAATGTGTGCTCAGGGCACTTCGAATTCCAAGCCTTCACATTTATTCAAATAAGAAATGCTAGCATTAGAGCCAGTATCCTGAACACACGTTTTAAACATTGCGAAGCCAATGTGGGCGGTTTTGTCAGGCTTTCTGGCAAGGCTATACATTTTGTTTAATTTTTGTTAAAAGCCGCATCAATATTCCAGCTATATGACGACATCCCGTTAGTCGCCCTTTAGGGCAAGAATGGGTTGCTGAAGACCTATTCTCTACCGGATATTCATGGTTGACTCGGCTGTAGGCCTGTCATCTGACACTACCGCGTGGTCGTTGCTCATGCTCTCAACTTGTTTGCCAGTTCCAAACCCAAAACAATACAAATCTTTGACATGTGATCATCTACTGAAACTGAGCTTTCAGCGCCATCTTGAAGGCAGACCTCTGCTCCAGCCGCTTGACGTAGTCTCGGACCTCAGGGTAATCTTTCAGCAAGGATCCCTTGTTGAACATGTCGTCTGTCGCCGCCCACACGCTGTACCCCAAGATGCAGTCGACAGCTGTTAAACTGAAAAGATATAAACATTTGTAATACAGCATTCTCGATTATCCAGGGTAATAGATCTCCATTCTATTATGATACATACTATAGACCCAATCGTCACCATCTCATGCTCTCATTACTGACTTGGCACAGTTCTCTCGCTCACGAGTGGAATCTTATTGTGCGGCCATTTTTAAAGACGTGTCTTTCGGACACGGTTCAAAACAAAGTTTTGGTGTAGAATGGGTCCAGGGTGTTCGTCAGAATAGAAAAGAGTGAGTGAGTGAGTTTAGTTTTACACCGCTTTTCGCAACATTCCAGAAATGTCACTCAATGGTGGAAACCAGGGCCCTGTTCCACAAAGCGATCGTACGCGCTAAGATGATCGTAACTCCCATACTTTATCATAGGCTTACGACAGTCGTGGCGCTATGATCGCTTTGTGGAACGGGGCCCTGAAATGGGCTTCACACATTGTACACATGTGGAGAATCGAACCCGAGCCTTCGGCCTGACGAGCGAACGTTTTCACCACTAGGCTACCCAACCACATCTTCAACTGTTGAGGAACTGTCCATATAAACTACTTGTGCGTTGTTATCGGATGTCAATAGGGGTCCGTGCATCCTCCAGTCTCGAAACAGTCACGATATGGCTGAAATATTGCTGATGTGACTTTAAATATTAACTCACTCACTCACTTCACTCTCAAAGCTCGAACTCGCTTGTAGTTTCCTAACGCCAAGTTTGGAAAATGAAATGAAAAAGCATTATCCCTAATATGTTGAATACCTAACATGCACAGACCATCACAAATCATTACATATATTTCCATTTCCCTTTTTACCTGTCGCCACAGACATACTGCCTTCCTTCCAGAGTCTTGGTGAGACGCTTCATGCAGGTGTCCATCTTTGTCACCATCTTGTCCACTCCCTGTGGGTCGGGCTTCTCGGGTGTGACGGCCCATTGCCAATACAACAGCTCCATTGCCTCGTCTATAGTCACGCTAGCATACAGTGCCCAGCTAGAACAGTGAGAAACATAAAGGTAACATTTTTGGTCACGTGTTACCTTGGGTCTTCCAGCTTTTGGGTTTCGCTCTATGGCTTCCGTTTCATGGGCATTACCCTATGAGGGAGTGTAAATTTACGCCAGTTCAATGGTGGTGAACGTGTAGAATGGGATTCACACGCATATTTTAGCTGAGGGACAAAACCCTACATGTGCCACCCGTGTCACGCATGATGACGATGACGACGACGACGACGACGACGACGATGATGATGATGATGATGGTGGTGGTGGTTGAAATGGAATAACTTATGCATCTGCCAGAACCAGTTTGCAGTAAACATTTTTTAATCCAATACATTTCCGGAACCATTCCTTCACTAACAGGTTAATAGGCATTCTTAACTCACATCATATCAAATATACTACCCAAAAGAAGTTAATGAACACCCAATATATAGTATCGGTTGTTCTTTGATTTCTGTGGAATATGGTATCTATCGTTTAAGTCCACTCACTCATAGTAGTCCATCCTCTGTCCGAGGGGAGGCGCTAGTTTGCCGTAACGGTCAGCCAGGTACAGGCAGATCGCACCCGACTCGATGATCGCACCCTCACCCTCAGTCTGTAGGGCGGGGATGGTGCCGTGGGGGTGGACGGAACGCTTATATTCCTCGTATGCCTCAGTGTCTTTACCCTTAATGGAGTCCAGCTTCACAATTTCGAAATCGTCGACAGCGTCAAGTTCTGCAATCCATGACAAAATAAGACATAGTATATAGTTTATATCCGACCATCTTCCCGAGGCAAGTGAGTTAACTGTCTATAAATGTCCAGTTTCCACCCTACTAGGCTGGTATTATGGAGTTACATTTTGGCTGGACTAACGAGTCTATGCATAGTCCAATCAAAATCGCGCACCGAAATCGAAATCCGGTTCGTAAAGTGTCATGCAGATTTCGATCGACTGCAGGATTTGCAAAACATGTGCACCGCTAACTCGTTGTCGACAGATATTTTTCTAAACCTTTTCATGTTTTTAATCAAGGTGCTCACGTGATTTGATGCACTTCGCGACGTAATACTCGTTTTATCACAATATACATCCTGATTATCGATCAGATCGTCTTGGCTGGGCTCCACCGTTTTGTTTGAAGCAAATGCAAGTGATACGAGAGTTTGAATCTGATTGGTCAATAGGAGAGGCATAGAAAGGACATAACTCGTAATAGCCACTGGTGGCGCTACGATCGAGCCCAGGAATTCCAGCCAAGTTCGGCAAGGGTGGAAACTGGACTTTTAAAGTCAGTTAACTCTCTTGCCTCGGGAAGATGATATCCGACTGACTAATTATATCTCTATAAGTATTTTCTGTCTCCTCAAAAGAGATTCAAGTCGTTCAGAGACTAGTTGGTTTGTCTGCTAACTTAAAATTGGAGTACATATAAATTCAACAGTTATAATGAATACAGTAATGATTGCGTGTATATTCATAAGGCGCCATTTCCGCTCCATAAAGCATACTCAAAGGAATACGTGCATTATTAGTATGTAATGAAAATTTGACACAACCGAATTGACTTTCCGTGATTTTTCTTCATTACCCGTGAAGATCCTGATCTTAATTGATCTTCCGCAACCAAAGCCTGTCGTAAGCGGCGACTAACGGGAGCGAGTGGTCAGGCTCGGTTGCATCTTCCCGAGGCAAGGGAGTTAACTGACTGTAAAAGTCCACTACTTTTATAGTTAGTTAACTCCCTTGCCCCGGGAAGATGACTTGGTTGATGCATGTCATTGTGTACTACAGACTGTAAATGCGTAGATCGATGCTCATGAGATCAGTCATCGGATTGTCTGATCCAGGCTCGATTATTTACAGACCGATGGCATACATGTGGAATTTTGCTAAATGCAGCATTAAACAACAAACAAACTATTCGACTTTCCTAAAATAAACAAAAGTTAAAATGAAAGAGTGGACAATATGTTCGACACAATCGAGTTCGACATAACGGTGTTCAGCTGCAATTACAACGTATTTATATAATATGGGTCTGTACTGGGAATATTCAGCATACCGTCTCCATGTAACAGCTCAACAACGGTTTAGAGTGTATGCTGACCACCCGCATGGCCACCCACCTCTTTCAACCCAACACATTGGGGCTACCGATCGATACACCTATTACAGCGAACACCCTTATGTATGTATACACCCACCCCGAGCACATACACTCACCGTGTATAAGCCACATACACCTGAACGACCTGTACATAGGACACTGATACAACTTCATAACTGCACGTTTTGCTTTCTTCGCCGCGTCAGCCATGACTTCGGGAACACGGGTGATACAATGTCCCGCGCTTTCTTGCCTGTCAAAATAGGTCAACCTCTTTATATACATATACTGTGTGATGTTCCCACTGAGCAACCGACCATGGGGATCAACATCCTGTTGAAAGTGACCGTGCCTAAGAAATGTTTGTTACTCTGGGTATTTTTAGGATAGCAATATTTTATTTTATGTCTTATCAGTAAGCACTCTTGAACGAACTGAACTTCTATAATTCGAATGTATGATTTTGTAGCGTTAATATGACCATGATCATTTAAAAATATATATTGTTCAATGTTGGCTTTATACCGGTATATGGTCTCTGATTTAATCAACGCTTAATCCTATATTTACACACACGCGCGCGCGCACACACATACACACACACCTATTGTGGAAATGAAATAAACGATACATATTAAAAGTATTTTCTTATTTAAATCATGATTCTATCGGTATACAGTGCATTATGAATAACGTATTTTGTTCTAGGGAGGGAGATGGGGGGTAACCGCAATTAGAAAATACACAGGTCTAGTTTTTATTTGATGAAATTCCCGAAATTCCAGTGTTACCTACAATGTATATATAGATGCTAATATATTCATATGTTTGTTTCTATTATTTTGTATGTGTACATATTCAATTAACCTGCGTCGACCTGCCTGAAATTATTTCCAATAATTATCAGCAAGAAATGGCAGAAAAATAACCCTGTAAAAACATTTCGCTCTCCCGATTTATTTTGTGTATGTAACATACTTAAATAATTTAAGTTCGTGTGATGTTTTCATTAAAAAAAGGCTGGTGTCTCGGATAACAGTACAGAAACCGGTGTTACCAGCCTCAGATATTTCCGTACAGACACAGCGGAAGTCATGGTGGCTGATGTTGTGGTGCATGTTGGGTAATCTTCAAACATGGCTGCCATCTTGAGAAACGTGAGGAGTGCATGCAGCATTGCCGCTGTCTCATTACGCACAACTTTGCCAAGAGTCAGTGCGATTGCACTCCTACATAATACACAGTCAAGATGCATGCATACCCCAGCTCTTCTATCCAATGTCACACTCACAAAGGTATGAAACTTTGTAACCGGTGCCCGGGTCGTGATTGACATCGTTGACATTGAAAGATGGAACCTTACTCCGATCGCTCTCGTGTTATCGTGCGTTTCGTATTTTCTCTTTGCTATTCAGAAGCTTCCACAAACGATGCACCCGCAGTGCATTTAGTGATTTAATAGACACCAAACAATTAATTCTGCTATCTGTTCGGAGAAAAGGGGTGGAACAGTAGATGATTATGTATCGTTTATGTGCTCCGAAATTATCCCATGTCCAAGCCTTCCACGGTCACAAACAACAATAGTTTGTCTTTGGAGAATAAAGAAGTAACTGTTCGTGACAATACTGAAAATGGTTTGGCGATACTATTGTTAAGTGAGTTCACCCATTCATTAGGTTGTCTTATTTTCCACCAGCATGCGTTTACCAAACTGACGTGTTGCTTTTGGTTGATGTGAGTTACATTTCATTTCTAGTCTACTATAGTCAATGAATGTACAAACATGGCTTATTGTATTCTTTCATCTGGACATGCTTAAGGTGGTAATACTTACAAATAAATAGTTTATCTGATAATCCAAATGACAAATGAACTGTCAAGTGTGAGAAATGTTCCTTTATGTGTAAATGACATCTGCAGTTTAGCTTGAATGTCATGCCTTTTGTGGTATGTTATAAGGCTCTTAGTCCTCAAGTTTTATAACTTAGAGTTTACCATGCTTACACACACAAAAAAGAAAGAGACTAAATTTTAGGTGTGTCATGATTCAGCTATCCATTGCAATTTTACACCTGCCAGTATGATATACTATATGTCCATCTATGTAATGATTCATGTTTTAATTGTGTATTGATTTTCGAACAGTAATATTATTTACCAAATTTTAAAATAACTGCATGATAACTACTCCAACTAGCATAACCTTACTGCCTCTCTTGGAACAAAAAGCAGACTCTGGTTGTTTACTTATATCAGCATGATAAGAAAACCCAGTTGAACTCCTCATGTGATTTAAACAAACAGGTTGATAGCATCAGCCTTTCTCACCTGGTCCACATGGAACACAGAGACATTTCACGCAGAAACAGCACAAACTACATACCGCAATAAATATTGATAAATGAGGTAACTGTATCATGATCCTTCCACTATACTTATGGTTGCAAATATTTGATTGTCTTTGTCCATTCAGGCATGGAAAGTGTAGATCACCAACGCACCTAGTCTACAATAATTCAGTAGTTTTTTCCGGGAGACAATTTGGGTTAATTTCGGCAAAGTCTGTGTATGAGGGACAAGCAACTCTAGATTTGTTATGCAAGAAATTTAGCTATAACTCATTAGTTGAATGATAAATTTTATAGATGACATGTATTAAAACACTGAGTAGTTATTGTATGGCCAATGTGGGTTTGATGTTAATCAGTGAAGAAGACAGTTTATCATTCCGGCAGCTATAAGTTAAATGTTTTCTAGTAGATGTAGAAGGAGCCTCATGAAACATCTAAAGCAATACAAAACATTCTGTCGCTTAACAGGTTGGCGTGAATGTTATCAACTTCTCAACCGCCACCACTATCACCTCAGTGGAAGAGATCCAGCAGAGAGTCCTCAATGTGTGCAAGCTTTATGACAAAATCAATGCAGAAAAGGTACTCAGTATTTTCAACTCTCATTTCAGAACACAGTCAAAGATGTCAGGTTGTACAGCTCCAAGCCTCCTCTCACTATTGAAATGATACAAGAAAGAGTATTGCTGGTTTTGAAATTGTATGACAAAATTAATCCAGAAAAGGTACAAAAATCATTTATTTTCCCTTTGAATTACAAGACTTTACAATATCTTAATTAAATAGTACCAACCATTATATATTTTCAAAATGTTTTCTTCTAGAAAAGAATAAACAAAAATAATTTTGCCTCAGATTTTACTCATTTTAGTCATTTAATTTTTACCCCCCTGCAAATAGCATTTCCCTGGATGCCCAGAAAAGAAATGTGTCGGGGTAAATGTTACTCCAATATTTAATGATCAGTCCCTGATTAAGGTAACACTATGCCCATTTCTTCTTGTATAAATACTTGGGGCCAAGATGCAGGAAGCCAGTATTTTGAGATATTTTGTGTCTTGCAATGATTAGGACAAGTTGTCACTGGTTTAATCTTTTCAGTGTTTTCTTTCTGATTATGAGTTAGTTTGCACTTAATTACACAGCAATTTTTGTCAACTGTTATTATTCAATTCATTTGGTCCATGTTTCATTAAGCAGTGATGTTCTTGTTTCAGCTCTCCCTGGAAAGCCACTTCATGAACGACTTGGGGCTGGATAGTTTAGACCAGGTGGAGATAATCATGGCGATGGAAGATGAATTTGGTAAATTGCGTTAAAACAAATATGGTTTATACAGCAGAACTAGAAGTATTCCTTTGTTGTAATTATACCCCAATACATTTTATAACAGTGATTAAGATACTGCTCAAGGGAGCGTTAACACTAACTCAAGAACTTGTTGAAGGACTATGCCTGCGCAGTATTGTCACTATGCTGCAATACACTTTTCAAACGATACGTTTTGCAATTTTTTTTCTGTTCTTGTATATTGTGTTTAAAAAATATTAAACAAGTTTTGTTATTGTTCGGTTAAACATAAAATCTACACAGAAATTCACTCACAATGATGTTTCCCTTTGAAATTGTTTGACACTATAGTGATTTTTCTTTCACATTGTTATCTCCCCTGTAAGTTGGTGATGACTGACCATGCTGATTATTATTTACTTTAGTATGTAGAAAATAGGATCTGCATATACAGTCAGTGTCACTGTCAATCACTATCAAATGCTTTAGCCCCTGATATGTTACAATGCGTATCACAATACAGGTACATGTAGTGCAATATATTGCAATACAATTGCTTGACCAATACACAGCTAGACAAATGACCCTCTTAAGTCTATCACTTAGGAGTAGGACATCTTGACTTTGATCCTTGATGTCAAACACTGTGTACATGGTGTAAGTTGAGGAAATGTATTATGATTTGCACCACTGTATTAAATTCAAGAAATGATTTTCGTATTGTTTTTCAGGGTTCGAGATCCCTGATGCGGATTCTGAGCGCCTCATGAGACCAAGAGACATTGTACAATATATAGCTGACAAAGAGGATATTTTTGATTAGAGAAAATGAGAGGAATTGTAAGTTGTTGAAAGTTTACCATCTTTTCTGTGTTACTGATCAGCACACGGGATAGAAGTCTTGACTTAAATTTAATTGCTTTCTACTGTAACTACGCAGTCTAGATGAAATCTATATTAGCTGTAGTTGTTTTAAGTGGTTCGCCAGGGATTTCTTGGCAGGATTTAGTCACTGAAAACTCAAATAACATAACAGTATAGAACAAATTTGATGCATTTAGTCTCTGCATTTTGTTTACCGTTACCCTTCAGATAAATGTTTTATAGATCCTGAGATTTCTCTTATGACCCCTGAGCATGATGGATGGGGATCCCAGGTTAGTGTAGGCCCTCTATGCTTGACTTTGATGCGATATATGGATCGGATGAACGGTTTGGTTGATAGCAAGTTATCATACGATGTGGCTGGAATATTGCAGATTGTGACTTAGCCACAGGCTAATTTGCATATCATGTGACCCGACAAACAAACACACTTTTTCAGAAATCAGAACAGAACAGACTAAGTATTTGTATTGGCGGGTTTTTCATATTGTTTTGCATAATTATATAAATATGCTACTACAACTGCAACAGTGAGTTGCATGACAATACATATTTACACATCAAAGTGACCATATCGCTAGCTCTTCATAGGGCTTCAATGTCAGCACATGGTGTCGTACAACCAATGTAAACATAGGATAACAACGCAAATGGAAATAGCTTTTCACGATTTAGGATATTTTCTCAATGAAAGTTAACCATTTTATCACATATGTTTGTCTGGATATGTAGACTTGTCCAAAATGAAACAAAGGA